CTCCCCTCCCCTCACGTTCGGCACGCTGCCCCGCCTACACACATCCTGACAGCCACATCCGCAAGCCGGATTAAAAGGTCCGCGCGGACTTTTGGGGCTGCCAACCGAGAGGAGGCAGGGGAGCGGCCGACCGAGAGGAGGGAGGGGAGCAGGCGCCCGGCACACAGAAGAGCCGCATTAGACTGGGTAAAGAGCCGCATGTGGCTCGCGAGCCGCGGCTTGCCGACCACTGAATCATTAGATTCTAATGATTGGTCTATTTGTGAGCCGAAGCCACATGTTACAGATGAAATTGGAATTTTTCCCACGGCACACCAGACAATATCTCACGGCACACTAGTGTGCCGCGGCACAGTGGTTGAAAAACGCTGTACTGGCATACGTCTTAAGAAAAAACACCTGGGAATCTATGTATAAACGTTCACACTGCAGATGTAACACAGAGTGAACATTTGACATGTTTTCTCAAATCTGATTAGTTCCTGTAGTTCCAGTGCCATCTAGTGACCATAATGTGCGTGTGTTTTTGGGGTTTTTTTTTTTTTGTTTGGTTTTGTTTTTTTTCGACCCCCACCCCCCGAAATGCCTCAATCAGGAAAACACACAATATGGCCACTAGGCGGCACTGGCAATATAGGACCTAATCATGGTGTCCGTTTATTACACAGAGAATAGCTGTGATTCAGAGGATCGCAGCTACTGTATTCTCTGGTCATTCACAGACACTCAGGAGATCAGCGGAGAACATGTTCATCTCTTCACTGGAGATCTGTGTTCTCCCTCCAGATTCTCCAGCCCAGAGCTGGAGAATCGGAGGAACCGCAAACTAAGCAGCGATAATTTACCTCTGCTTAGTAAAGTGATCTTTTACTGTAATCTCACGAGATTATAGTAAAATCAACCATTTTTCAGTGTTTGTAGACCGTTCTCCAGCGTTTGTAGACCGTTCTCCCTTCGTTCAGAGAACTGATCTACACCGCTTCTTAAAAGGCATTCACGGGAGAACTGTGTTCTCCGAGAATTCCGGAGAACTGAGCAGCGATCATTTACCGCTGGTTCATAAATGGATACCCATATTCGAGACAATGCAGTGAATTTGCCCTACAGCTTTAGTCCTATCATTTTAGTTGATGAAGTCATGGCGCTTAACTGGAAACCGGTAGGTGGAGTTGCTATGCATGGCAGAGAAATCAAAGGATGAAAACTCCACTGTTATTTCTTTTCAAGTTCAAGGGTTAGTTCACCTTTACCAAAAAACAGCTTGTGCAGACCAGGGCTGTCTGTAGATAAAAACAAACTGTGCAGCTCTGACTAAATTTGAATAATGTCCTTGTTATAGGTGTAGGCCATTTACATACCTCCTGAAGCCTGACTGGCATACTCCCAAGACTTTGCTAGATGAGGCCTAGTCATTACTGTCACCTCCACCATCACAGGAGTGAGCTCTCACACGCTGACCTCAGTGCTACTGCATCAGGGGAGAGAGAGAGCATGTGAGGGGGTCTGAATAAGAGAAAGCTCACTCCTGTGATGGTGGAGGTGACAGTAATGACTTGGCCTCCCTTGGCAACATCCTGGGAGTATTCCAATCAGGCTTCATGAGGTACGTAAATGGCCAACACCTATAGCAAGGACAGTTTTTTTTTTTTTTTTTTTTTTTTTTTTTTTTTTTTTTTAATGAAAACCACTTTAGCATTGACCTAAAATGTACAATATAAAGTGCTGTCCTTGATCAGAAATTTCAGGTGCCTGAAAATGTGCAATAGATCATCTTTCAGATTGTAATCTCAAATTATGTCTACAGGGGAATTTTATAATTTGGCAGTGGAAGGATAAAAAGCAGCTGAATTTCAGGGGTTTTCCAGGGCTCTGTTTTCTCAGGGCTCTTGAGCATCCAGATTACATTGTGTATTTAGTGACCAGGCATTCAAAGACCTGTTTATCCCCCGCCCTGATTTTCCCTTTGTTGAATTGTATCACTGTTTGGAAGCCTGTTCCTTAATGTTGGATACCATATTTCTTGAGGTTCCTGGCTGGATCTCCACATCTGTTGATTTTCACTTAGCATACCTTTTGTTTATTTTATTTATTTGGTACTTATATAGCGCAATCAATTTACACAGCGCTTTACACACACACATATATATATATATATATATACACACACACTAACAATAATTCCAGTGCAGAAAAACACAATATATGATGAAAGATGAGGTTGGCATCAAGTATATAGATGCCAAACATATCAAGCTTTAAAATGGCATGTGCTTGTGAAATGGTGAAATGGTGACAAACTTCAGTACCAAATATTGTCCATAGGTGACGCTTTAAAAGCCTTTACAGGTCATCAGTTTAAATAGTGAACCATGAATGATGGCCCTAGAGTTATTCCTCTCCCTCTGGTGTGTGCAGAGATATGTACAATGTGTAGTGTGATTGATCTTTTCCTACATAACCGCACCAAATCCTTGCTATTGCTCATGTATACGGGAACTGGGGGCTTTAAAATGTGTTTTTTCATTTACAGTGTGTTACTTTAAACTTTTTTTTTTTCTCTGAACTTTATTATTGCCATATTGCTGGTCACAGATCCTCTTTAAAGAAACACAAGAGGTCTATCAGTCCCCCAGACTCCTCCTACCACTCCATCCCCCACAGCTATTTCCTCCTGTACCACTATCCCCTCCCTTCTAGATTGTAAGCTCAAAGGAGCAGGGCCCTCGAACCATTTGTGTATCACATTGTATGTTATTGTACTGTCACATGTTCTGTCTCCCATTGTAATGTACAGTGCTGAGCGAACTGTTGGCGCTTTATAAATACTGTATAATAATATATATATAGTACATTCACATCAGTCCCTAACCCTCAAGGGGTGTACAATCTAAGGTCCCTAACTCACATTTATACATACATATACTAGGGCCAATTTAGACAGGAGCCGATTAGCTTACCAGCATGTCTTTGGTTTCCTCCCACACTCCAGAGTACCCAGAGGAAACCCAAGCAGGCACAGTCATGCACGTTACATGCAAACTCCAGGCAGGTGGTGCTGTGGTCGGGATTCGAACCAGGGACCCTAGTACTGCCAGGCGGAAGTGCTAGTCACTTAGCCACTGTGCTGCCTGTATTTATTTCATTTTTGTTTGTTCTTTTGCCACCGTATTATGATCGCTACCTTCTAAAGCTTTATATCTGAGCCCCTGTGTGGGTGGAATAGGTGCTCACCTCGTTACAAATCGAATCAAAAATTATTGAACTAGAAAGACATGTTTGTGGTTATAGATATTGGACATTTATGCAGTCCATTTTGAATGTTTAGGTAAAGTGTTACTAAACCCAGGACCCTGCATTCACTATATCTGGTCTCCCACAGTACACACGACATGAAAATACAATTATTTTAGTAAATAGAAACTGCTAAATATCTTTTCTCATCAGCAGCTAGAGCAATCTTGTGACTTCTATCAGTGGCCAGCAGAGCTCTGGGTATAGCTTGTAGGATTAGTAGGGATGCATCGAAATTCCGGTGGCCGCAAACGTTTTAGCTGAAAACACCCCTTTTGGCTGTCAGCCGAAATGAAAAACAAGCACCTATATAGGTGTCAAAAAAAAACCCCGCCCCTCAAAGCCACCCACCCACCCACCGCTCGGTAGTTCAGTCTTACCTGAAAATCCATCATTCCTGGTGCTGTGCATAGAGATGAGTGAAGGAAAGATGGCCGCCACACATGCCCTTGGAGAACTGGAGTGATGCCATTTCCAGTTCTGGCCATTTATTATTTATTTATTTTTAAAGCACTAGATCAATACTTTTTTTGATCCAATGCTTTACATTGCAGAGGAGAGATGTGGGGTCTTATTGACCCCAGATCTCTCCATAAAGAGGACCTGTCACTAATTATTTCTATCACAAGGGATGCATGCATTTCTTGTGATAAGAATAAAAGTGATTACAATTTTTTTAAAAGGAACCGTGCAAAAAAAAAAAACAAAAAAAAAAAACATAAAATTAAAAAAAAAAAAGTTTAAAGTGCCCCCGTCCCCCCATGCTCGCACGTAGTGATGAACTCCTACGTAGGCCATGTCCACATATGTAAATGGTGTTGAAACCGCACATGTTAGGTATCGCCACGAACGTCGGAGCAAGAGCAATAATTCTCACACTAGACCTCCTCTGTAACTTTACACTGATAACCTGTACAAATTTTTAAAGCATTACCTATGGAGATTTTTAAGTACTGCATATACCGCGTTTTATGCCATTCCACGAGCGTGCACAATTTTAAAGCGTGACATGTTGGGTATTGATTTACTCGCTGTAACATCGCCCCCCCATTATACTTAACTTGATCCAGGGCTGTGCCCGAGAGCAGTGGCTCTCTCCTCTCTCTCCCTCCACACTGGACATTGATGCAAAATCCATTGGTGCCTGCTGCTGTCAGTCTGTGAGGAGGGAGGGGGTGGGGCCAAGCTGCGCTGTGTGTGTCCATGGATTGGTCAATCGGGAAGTGGCTTGCTATGGGGACACTCATAAAGGGAGAGGAGCTAGGAGTGCCACGGGGGACCCCAGAAGCGGAAGATGGGGGTGCTCTGTAAAAATCATTGCAAAGAGCAGGTAAGTATGACATGTTTATCATTTTTACATTACAAAATACCTTTTACAATCACTTTAATTTTTGTTTAGTAGAAATGGGCTGACAAGCCCTAAAACACAGTTCTGACTAGCATGGACTCTTGCCATTACCACTGAATTAAATTCCCCAGAATATCACACTATTCAGATCTATGTGAATGCAAAACAGCATGAATCACATCAAATGCAGGTCAGAAGAATGTGTATGGCACCTGTCAATAAATTCTGAATGGTCCCAAAAGCCTTTCAACCAAATGTCTAATCACACTGCATATGCCTGCCGACACAGGCCCTTCAAATATTTAAATAGAAAATATATGCTGTCTTTGAAATTCCAAAACTATTATTACTTTTTTTTTAAATTTTAGGACTTATTGTGGGTGTGATACTAAGATACGGCACTCCTTCTACCAGCACCTATGACAAAACCATCAGCTGCTCTCAAGAACAAAGGGCTTATACCACACTACTAGTCAACGTCAGTGGGAAATTCTTTGAATACACTTTGAAGGGTGAAATTATTCCTGAGAAGATTCATAATGTGGAACAGAATGACATGCTAAGAAAGGTAAGTAATCCATGCCTACCTAAAGAATACATACTACAAAAAAAAAAAAAAAATGCATACACTACTCTTTTGGCATATTGACTTATGAAGGTCAGTGCTTCCTGTGACTGTGTGTGCTGCCATCTGTTGGCGTGTTACAAAACTAGTCTCAACTTTTTGATACTACCTCGTATACTGTATATAAAATTACATGCATGAAGACACTTAGCCAGAGGACTACAAGGACAAGAGGTTAGCGTTTGCATCAAGAACTAGTGTTTTTCTTTATCAAGTGCTACTAAGCAATTTATCTGTAGTTGTCAACACAAATTTAGTGCTGGCTTCTACAATATCTACTCCCTACAACAGAGATCTGCAAGGTATTGAATATGTATACTTACATTGGTTCAAGTTAGGCTAATTCTTGTCTTTTCTACAGCAAGGTAGGGATGGTGAAGGAGGTTCTCTTTAATGGATAGAGGGCAGCCAGCATCCTTTGTTCCTTTGATTTCTACTGTCCTTGGCCTGTCTATTTTGTTCATTGGATTTTAGGTCTTTCAATCATCGATGCTCAGCATCACATATGGGCGTCACGTAAGGCGGTGTGCATGCAAATGTCTGCTTAGAGACACCCTCTCCACCAAGCTGATACAGTGGGGCAAAAAGGTATTTAGTCAGCCACCAATTGTGCAAGTTCTCCCACTTAAAAAGATGAGAGAGACCTGTAATTGGCATCATAGGTAGACCCAACTATGAGAGACAAAATGAGAAAAAAAATCCAGACAATCACATTGGCTGATTTGGAAAGAATTTATTTGCAAATTATGGTGGTAAATAAGTAGTTGGTCAATATCAAAAGTTCATCTCAATACTTTGTTGGCAATGACAGAGGTCAAACGTTTCCTGTAAGTCTTCACAAGGTTGGCACACACTGTTGCTGGTATGTTGGCCCATTCCTCCATGCAGATCTCCTCTAGAGCAGTGATGTTTTGGGGCTGTCGCTGGGCAACACGGACTTTCAACTCCCTCCAAAGGTTTTCTATGGGGTTGAGATCTGGAGACTGGCTAGGCCACTCCAGGACCTTGAAATGCTTCTTACAAAGCCACTCCTTCGTTGCTCGGGCGGTATGTTTGGGATCATTGTCATGTTGGAAGACCCAGCCACGTTTCATCTTCAATGCCCTTGCTGATGGAAGGAGGTTTGCACTCAAAATCTCACGATACATGGCCCCATTCATTCTGGCCTGTACATGGATCAGTCGTCCTGGTCCCTTTGTGGAAAAACAGCCCCAAAGCATGATATTGCCACCCCCCATGCTTCACAGTATGTATGGTGTTCTTTGGATGCAACTCAGCTTTCTCTCTCCTCCAAACACGACGAGTTGTATTTCTACCAAACCATTCTATTTTGGTTTCATCTGACCATATGACATTCTCCCAATCCTCTTCTGGATCATCCAAATGCTCTCTAGCAAACTTCAGACGGGCCCGGACATGTAGTGGCTTAAGCAGGGGGACACGTCTGGCAGTGCAGAATCTGAGTCCCTGGCGGCGTAGTGTGTTACTGATGGTAGCCTTTGTTACGTTGGTCCCAGCTCTCTGCAGGTCATTCACTAGGTCCCCCTTGTGGTCCTGGGATTTTTGCTCACCGTTCTTGTGATCATTTTGACCCCACGGGGTGAGATCTTGCGTGGAGCCCCAGATCGAGGGAGATTAATCAGTGGTCTTGTATGTCTTCCATTTTCTAATTATTGCTCCCACAGTTGATTTGTTCACACCAAGCTGCTTGCCTATTGCAGATTCAGTCTTCCCAGCCTGGTGCAGGTCTACAATTTTGTTTCTGGTGTCCTTCGACAGCTCTTTGGTCTTCACCATAGTGGAGTTTGGAGTGTGACTGTTTGAGGTTGTGGACAGGTGTCTTTTATACTGATAACAAGTTCAAACAGGTGCCATTGATACAGGTAATCGGTGCAGGACAGAGGAGCCTCTAAAAGAAGAAGGTACAGGTCTGTTAAAGCCAGAAATCTTGCTTGTTTGTAGGTGACCAAATACTTATTTTCCACCATAATTTGCAAATAAATTCTTTCCAAATCAGCCAATGTGATTGTCTGGATTTTTTTTCTCATGTTGTCTCTCATAGTTGAGGTCTACCTATGATGCCAATTACAGGCCTCTCTCATCTTTTTAAGTGGGAGAACTTGCACAATTGGTGGCTGACTAAATACTTTTTTGCCCCACTGTATCTACCCATTAAGGCATTTTGATATTTGCAGAACTCTTCTTAAGAAGAGGCAGGGTGCTGTAATGTGTTTTTTGTTTTTGTTTTTTTAAGGTTTGTACACCACCCTGCCAACCACTTCCACCAGGTTTTATCTGTCTTCATAGCATAGAGAAGCACAGAGAACCAGTGATGACATCGGGAGGTCTAAAATAAGAGATTATTATTATACAGGATTTATTTGGCGCCAACAGTTTGCACAGCACTTTACAAAATGAATGTAGACATTACAGTTACAATACAATTTGGTACAAGAGGAAACAGAGGGCCCTGCTCGTTAGAGCTTACAATCTAGGAGGAAGAGATGTAATTAAAATGTAAAGGTGTTCTTTAAAATTTTCATTAGCATGTTTGAAGGGGAAATGAGGAACCTGGGAAGGCAACTTCAGCTTTAAAGATGCATAGCTTTATGAGGAGCATGATACTACATGTGCCTATGGTAAATGATCCTAATCAGTTGTATTAAATACAACCTAGGATATTGTGATTGATTTCTGTTTATGTATATAATGACGTGAACGATAAAATGAAAAACTGGACATATGCTTATTCCATAATATAAATTCTGTTTTATTTTTCTGATAACATTAGGTATAATTTGACTGTTGCTTTTATCACAGACATTGTTACATGTGCTTGTATAGACAGATGCTGTTATATACAAAAGCTGTTTAATCGCAAGGAATAAAAACCATCAAAAGCAGAACCACACTGCTTGACCGTAAAGTGGGGTTATATTTTGCAATGAGATATATCAGACTTTGTACTTTTAGCCTTAGAATGACACTAATTGCATTTATCATCTAAATTGAGACAAATAGATTGCATATGACCGTTATTTTCTACTTTGAGTTCATCTATTATTGTCAGTAGCATTCTCTGGCTTCACTGCACTTCATAGAATTGCCTCAAAGGCCTTCACTGAATTTGCTTGTTTTGCCCATAAGGCTTTCAGTACTGTGACCTGAAATAGATTTTCACTGAAGACCCTGTGTACCCTGAATCGCATTGGTTAGTACTTTTAATGAAGTCATATTGGGCAGCTATTTTGCTTTTTAAAGCGGTATTAAACCCAAAAGCAGACATTTATTTGTTTGCAGCTTACCAATTCTTGGATGTGATGGCTGCATTTGTTCTTTTTTTTTAGCCTTTCTTTCCTTTATTTTCACATGGTTATCCATGCAGTAAGTCTCTTGTTTTTCAACCGATCAAGCTCTTCTGCAAATGCATCAGTTAGAGGGATGAGACAAACCATTTACCGCTGACAAGGGTTTTTACAATGATCAGCTTTTATTTATGCATGTAAAACCTTTATCCCAAAAGAAACAAGCTATTTGCTGTAATTGCATTCGAAGTGTGAGCTGGAGTTTGGATTCAATTGGTTAGTGTTGGTTAGTGTATCTAAATCTGCTAGTAAATTTAACACTCCCCACACCCTCAACTTACATTGCTGCTGTCCAAAGGTGTCCCCTGTGCTCCTTCATCATGAGTGGAAGCACTCCAATATAAGAGGTGTATTAGTGGCAAGAGCACCAAGTGTAAAAAGAGGAGAAAAAGCCTATAAAAAGAAAAACTAATGCAGCCACCACATCTAGGGATTGGTAAGCTGCAATATATAACATTTTTAATTTTGGATTAACTACCTCTTTACAAATGGAAACTTTAAATGAATACTCAATTTACAATAGCAAAAAGTAAACTATAAAAGGGGTTTGCTCTGTGCTTACATCAGAGGATCCTTGTTCAACTGCACAGTCTGCACAAGTGTCCCAGGGGCGGACTGACAACTCATGGGGCCCCTGGGCAATAGGGGATCATGGGGCCCCTGTGTCCTTGCTCAAACTCAAAAAAAAAAAAAGCCTATGAAAAAGGTACCAGGGACATCTCATGGGGCCCCCTACTGACCCCGGGCCCTCGGGCAGTGCCCGAGTTTTCAAATGGTCAGTCCGCCCCTGGTCTGTCCTTGCTCCTACATTTGAAGTTCAGAAGAACGGACACCATGGCCCTGTAAGTTGCAAGCAAGAGTTTCTGGCCTGATGTCAGACGGTCATTACAAGAATGTGTTTTTTGTTTTTTTTTTTAATACAAAAGGAACCAATGTAACAAGTATAATCAAAAGTCAAGAAACTCTCCTGCTGTAAAAGAGGCATGACAGTTGACCAGTAGGAACTAGGTGGTCTATGACCAATATCTTGGTCATTTGCTATGAAAGTATGATAACTGCTTCAACAATTACAATTGGAAGGTTGCTCAGGTACAAAACAACTAAATAGGCACCCATTTTGTTATTATACTGTTATCTGTAGTTCATTATATTCTATGAACCATAGAAATCCTAGGTGAGGAGGCTGTCTGAGACAGCCTCAGATTCTCTCTGGACTAGAAAGGAAATCCTTTCTCTGAATTTTTTATTTTTTTTTTTCTAAATGCCAACCTGCTTTTTTACACTGATGTAAATGAAGAAAATTGTGTGAGAAATAATAGTAGGGATAACGTGTACTGTATGGTTCCCTTATTTATAATCGCCCAAAAGAAAAAAATCTACGCTTGTTAAATATTTCGTAAGTCATGTGTATGTCATATATGTAAAGACACATTTAAAAAATATGTTAAAGGTTTTAAGATTTCACCCACTAAAGCTTGTATCGTTTGTTACAGGTGACCTTCGACCCTGAAGTCTTTTTTAATATTTTACTGCCTCCGATCATTTTTCATGCAGGATATAGCCTAAAAAAGGTAAGACAAATCAACTCCCACCGCTTTATTCATGTTTTTTGAAAAGCTGTGACAGTTCATGATTTGTTGACTCAAAAAAAATAAAAAAGCCTTTTTTTTTTTCTTTTTTTTATAAACAGAACAAAGATTACAAAATGCGTTTTTAAGACAAATACTTTGTGTATACTGATATTTCTCTAGGCAGCCAGTGAGATCACTAGCAATTCTTCAAATAGTATAGTGGTGCCTGGATAACTGAAAGCATGCACTATTACCAAGGAAGGATCACACTGTTTTCAGCTCCAATAGAAGATAGGATGTGGTCAGACATGGAAACACAACCCAAACTTCTGCAGGGATCTGTGGTAGCCAGTGCACCTCTAAACCTAAATTTGGAAATGTGTTTTTAGGCCTGTGGAACAAGGATTGGAATACATGTTGCAGACACCTTCAGCACTGACTTATCAGGGGGAAACCAAGTGTTCTCATAAGGTTTTCTAACCTTTTTAACTGCTATCATTGCTGATCAGCATTGGCTGTTTGTGCCTGTGGGTTTCCTATAGACATAAGATTAGTAGCTTTTTTTTTTTTTTTTTTTTTTTTTATCTTGTGTCTACAGGCATCTTTATTCAGCTGTGTGAGTGGAGAAGATCTGTATCACATTTGCATGCTGCAAACAATGGGATTTTTCTGATGAGCCAACTGTAAATATGAAATATTTAGGTGATACTAAAAACACACAGTTTACCACAGTTTTGACCTCTGGAAGATTTACTTCCTGACAGGTCATTTTTTACTATTTGGCACTGCTCTATTTCAACTGGTAATTGCGCAGTCATACAACGCTGTACCTAAATAAAATTTTATGTCCCTTTTTTTTTCATACAAATTGAGCTTTCTTTGATGGTGTTTGATCACCACTGGGGTTTTTTTTGTGATTTGAAAGGAAAAAGACAGAAAATTTTGTAGAAAAATGTTTTTTTTTCTACTTTTGGTTACAAGAAATATCCAATAAACTCAGTTAGTCATAAATTTAAGCCAAAATGTATTCTGCAACATGTCCTTGGTAGTTATCAGTTTGTTCTTCAACTGAGTTGAAAAGTTTAGAGGTTACATTAAAGGTGGAAAAAGTTCCTAAATGATTTATCTTTGTCTAATTTTTTTACATCACAGAAACATGACATTTTAACTGGGGTGTGTAGACTTTTTATATCCACTCATCAGCAGTTAGAGCAGTCTTGTGACTTCAGCTGAGCACTTGTTAAAGTTTGTAGGAGCTCCCCTGGCTGGGAGGGGATCTTACAGACCTCGACATTATCTGATGTCAGTAATACAGTGGTCAGTGAAAAATTTTATATACTGACACTGTATTATTGGCACTAGCTGGGTGATGGGGCAGTGTGTGTGTGTGTGTGTGTGTGTGTGTGTGTGTGTGTGTGTGTGTAAAATGTAGTGCTTATTCTCACAGTGCGGTATTTTTGCAGAATACAGAACATGATTCCCATAGTGACTGAGTATGAACAGAATGTAATACAGCATTTGTTGATAGTTTTTATGATGTGGGTTTAGTGACACTTTAAAGTGTTACTAAACCCACAACAGCCTGTATATGCAGTAAAGAATGTTTGTTATACTCATTGTGGACCCTAAGGAGTTAATCCTCTGCATTGTGTAAAAAGGCCATTTGATCCTTTATTCTCTGTTCCTCCCCTTTTCCAAGCAACCACCTCTTATCTCCTGATAAGACAGGCTGAATCGTAGGCATTTGCACATGCTCAGTTTGGTGTGTACTGCTAGAGAGGTTTTGTTTTTTTTTTTTTTTTTCTTCTTGAGAGAGTGCATGTGACCAGCACAGGGCCAATCAGCACTGGTCAGACAGAGGTCAGGGGTTTTGCATCCTCCTAGAGCAGAAAGAAAACTCCTAAAAGCTTTAGCTAGTGCTGGGCTGGACACTGATAGAAGTCACAGCTCTAACTGCTGATGAGAAAAGGTATGTAGCAGTTTATATTTACTAAAATAATTTCCCTTCCATGTTGTGTGGGAGACCAGATAGAATGAATGCAGGGTCCTGGGTTTAGTATCACTTTAAGTGAACATGCAAGCTCTGAGATAATGTAAAAGTGGTTCCTACTCCAGATTTCAAGCTCCTCTAGGTACCTGTCAGTTTGGACCCTCTACAGTATATAGTGCTCAGTGATGTCAGGCGTCAGTATCATTCAAGCAGCTCTCTTGATTATTCCTTTTGCTTGCCCCCTACCACTCCTTGTAGTATACCATTGGCCTATCTCTTGGATGGGCAGCCTTTTAACCAGTACTAGATCTGAAAAAATAAAGTAGGGATATCCGCACCAGTAACTTAGAATCTGTTTGCTGTTTCCATAATAGATCACTTCTGTTTTTTTACTACTGGTTAGGTTAAAGTTTTTGTATGAGATATCTACTGGCATACAGGCCTTTGGAGCTGCCTGCAACAGGATATAGCAACTAGCAATAAACTTTTCTATGTGATTGCACATGCTTACAAACATACAAGTGTAATATTAGACCGGAGTTGGAGTTTGACTTTAATGTATTTAAAAAATACCAAAAACCTCTAACTGTAATGTTTCAAATACATTTTCTTGAAATTGATGCAGAACTATTTTTAGTAAGTGAGAATTGTATGGTTTCATCAGTGACATATAAACTCAGGTTTATAGAACTGAAACTTGACTAAATATAAACTCAATGATTACATAATCTTAGAATGGACGTGTGCTAAAAGCACCAACTTACCTGTGTATGCTTTTATATATAGTTAATTGAAACCATTAACCAAGTAGTATTACAAATAACCCAGGATAAAATCATAGGGAATGTTTCTATAGTTGGTAAGGCTGACCATAGATGGTTCAGGTTTTTTTCGATCAGCCTACTGGGTAATCGATGATGATTCTATGTTCCCTAGTGGTGTAAAAACAGTGACATGGCATGCATAGTATGGGCAATTGTGGCGATGTTGGCGACTTAATAAACTGACAGATGTGAAAGTACAGGCGTAACAGTCATAATACATGGCAAATTGTGTAAGCACACAGGTAGCTGTGTGAAATACGTGGAGGTTAGGTTATACCAACACAAATGCAGCCATATCTATACAGAGACAAATATGGCAGCACACAGGCAGACCCAGAAATGGAGCACATAGAGATGCTGGAGGAAAATATCAAATTTAAACTTTAAGCATAGGAGAATGGACAGGGATTTGGGTGCAGTGGCAATGTGTGTCAATGGTTCATGCTCTACATGCGAGACTAGTTGCTTCTGTGCTGTCAGTGAAGTCATGTGCAGTTAGCATAACTCCCAACTTTTTTTATTTGAAAGTATGGTTGGTCCCGCTTTTGGAACAAAAACCCACTGGCCCTCTTTTCCTCTCTTTGGTCTAATGTACAGATCTCTATAAGAAAGTGTACGATTTAACCATTAAAGTATTGAACTGCACTAAAATTTTCATCCAAGCTCTAACACTATATTTCCAAAAGTATTGGGACGCCTGCCTTTTACACGCACATGAACTTTAATGGCATCCCAGTCTTGGTCCATAGGGTTCAATATTGAGTTGGTCCACCCTTTGCAGTTATAACAGCTTCATCTCTTCTGGGAAGGCTGTCCACAAGGTTTAGGAGTGTCTTTGGGAATGTTTGACCATTCTTCCAGCAACGCATTTGTGAGGTCAGGCACTGATGTCAGACGAGAAGATGCCAATCAAGTTTCTCCACCCCAAACTCTCTCGTCCATGTCTTTATGGCCTGTGTGTTGTGCATTCGTGTGCAGTCATGTTGGAACAGGAAGGGGCCATCCCCAAACTGTTCCCACAAAGTTGGGAGCATGAAATTGTCCAAAATGTCTTGCTATGCTGACACCTTAAGAGTTCACTTCACTGGAACTAAGGGGCTAAGCCCAACCTCTGACAAACAACCCCACACCGTAATCCCTCCTCCACCAAACTTTACACTTGACACAATGCAGTCAGGCAAGTACCATTATCCTGGCAACCGCCAAACCCAGACATGTCCATCGGATTGCCAGACAGAGAAGCATGATTTGTCACTCTAGAGAACACATCTCCACTGCTCTTGAGTCCAGTGGTGGAGTGCTTTACTCCACTGCATCCGTCGCTTTGCATTGCACTTGGTGATGTAAGGCTTGGATGCAGCTGCTCGGCCATGGAAACCCATTCCACGAGGCTCTCTATGCACTGTTGTGCTAATCTGAAAGCCACACGAAGTTTAGAGGTCTTTAGCTAATACCTGCAGACAGTTGCCATCTTCTGCGCACTGTGCGCTGATCCTTCTCTGTCATTTTACTTGGCCTACCACTTCGTGGCTGAGTTGCTGTTGTCCCAGTTGCTTCCACTTTGTTATAATGCCACTAATAGTTGACAATGGAATATTTAGTAGCAAGGAAATTTCACGGATGGACTTACTGCACAAGTGGCAACCTATCACGGTACCATGCTTGAAAGCGCTGAGCTTTTGAGAGCGACCCATTCTTTCACAAATGTTTGTAGAAGATGTCTGCATGCCTAGGTGCTTGATTTTATACAGCGGTGGCCATGGAGGTGATTGGAAAACCTAAATCCAATGATTGGAAGGGTTTCCCAATACTTTTGGCAATATAGTGTACTTCATTGGTTATTTTTAAAATCCAATATAAGGGAAAAGTAGGAGGTGAAAGCACTTGAAGGATGATCTAAGGATTTGTTGCATATATATATTCAAAATCAAGTATTTAGCAATTTTTTTACATTCAAGGCACTCTTGAAAACTCTGCACAATCTTGAGGCACCATTCTAAAATGTAGAAAACGAAACTAATCGTTTTCCAAATGCAGCAACATCTACACACGTAGGACACTCAACATTAGAGGTGATCCAAAGAAAATACACCTTTGTACACTTGTACTGACTAGTATTCTAATGTCTCTCTTTTTCCCTCAGTTTCTTGTCCTCCCTCAACCCAGTGCTGATGTAGAGGGGTAGGGGAGACCGATGACGTCATTGGTTGTTAGGACGTTGGCGGCTAGAAGGTGGTAATGGTGCACAATGAAAACCTGTGGCTTTGTGTAACTAAAATGCAGGCTTCATCCATCCTCTGACTTGTATACACTTTTTGTGCAATTTTTAGACATTTTGCCAAGACACCTGAAGAAACCTGAAGGCGCCCCAGGGTGCCTGGGCACCCTGGTTGAAAAAGGCTTTTCTAAATGATCTACATAACTGGTGGCCAGGTAGGGTTGTGTCATACTTTGTTCTAACCATGTGCCAAATGGCTAAATCAGTATGTTTATGTACAGAACAGAGCTTGGGGTGGACAAAGTGCTGTGCACGTTAGCCCTCAAACATCTAAGGGTGCATTTTATTTCAACAAACGTCGTGTTTAAGATTCTAAAAATGGAAAAACCATACCAAAGAAGATATCCTCACACCAGTCTCTTCTTTCTGACATCACTATCTCCATATCTCAGAAAGTTAGGTGGCATGCGTTAGTGATGTCAAAAGGAAGAGCCTGGTGCCAGGGTATCCTTTTTTAGTATTATTTTTTTGCTTTAAGAATTTTAAAAGGGAGCTTTGTTGAAATAAAATGGGCCCCTAGACTTTAAAAGGCTAAGCTGCAAAAGCACTTTGTCCACCCCAAGGTCTGTCCTGTGCCTAAACATGTGATTTGGCGTTGACATTTGCACATGTTTATGTCAAAGGTGTCCTAGCAGAGGATATTTAGGCTGCTCTTTGGCTCATTCCGGTTATGTAACCGCAAACGGGAAGTTGCCTGGGGCCATCAGAAGGAGGCCACTATGTGGGATACTTTTTGGGGGGATTACCTTGGGAGGTGACCGCACTGCTCATTTTTGATGCCTGCTGTAGACCTAAATGGGGATGTGTAGGTGACAATTCACTCCTCAAAAAGGAAGTGAAAACCGTGATCTTATCCCCATAATAGGAAGCTGCATTGAAGTGAAGTTTTGTAGCCCATAAAAGTAATTCTTTAACTGGGGCACATTTTTTGCAGTTATGCCCCTTTTATTTTAGGCTTGGCTGCAGATATTCGATAAGCCTGTTTTGTTTCTATGCTCAGAGTAGAATATACGGCTAGTTGCAGACAATGTGGCCGCTAGATGTCACTATTCCACTTAGTAGTAACCTAGTGCTTGTATTATTCAAATTATGTTATGTTTGCTTTTTCTTGTGTGTTGGTTGGCTGTGCTGCCTTTAGTTGAGAATGTTCTGAAACTTTAAGAAATGTATGTGTTCTATAGATTATGGAGTTGTCTTGGTTCTGTATTGTGTGAGAAATTGTTCTGCTGCTATCCTGTGCAGTTGCTGCTTCTGGTATTACAAACTAGTTTCTGTTCAAAAATCCCCTTCAACTGCACAGTCTATTTTGGTCAACTATAGGGGTTACACAAAAAAATAGAAACACTACATGATGTGCAGGTGTGAAAGTGACATGTTCCGAGTTGAAAGTGATGTAACATTCTTTTGCTTCTGCTGTGTGATGAGGCACCTAGCTAACAGGTGGGAAGTCTCACTTTCGTCATTCACTGCATATGCTGCTAGTAATACAGAGTCATGTAAGAGTTTACTGAGCTTCAAAGAGGGCAAATTGTTGATGCCGCTTAGCTGGTGCCTCAGTGACTGAAGTTTCCAATTTATTTGCCATGTAGCAAGTTACAATATCAAAGGTTTTGACGGCATATACACACCTTTGCCTGATGAGCAGAAGCATGGTGGACATGGACAGTTGATCGAAAGAGACAAAAGGACATTGCGTAGGATTGTGGCCAAGAATAAGAAACCAACTGCTGCAAAAGTGACTGCAGAGCTCAATCTCAGTCCCGTGAATACAATAAAATGAGATACCTGGCACTCTTTGCTTTCCATTGAGTCCACATTGAATTTATTAAAAGTTGTGTAAAAGGCAGCTTGTGTCCCCCAAACACAGACCCTGTTCCAAAGCTGCTTGTCATATATTTGGATCAGAGTACCTACAAAGCATGTTCTGGTATCATTCTGCTAAACCCTCACAGTGACTAATGAAGTACTGCTATAATAGCCGCTTCTGTGTTGCTGTTTACTGCATTTAAAACCATATTGCTATCCCTGAATTTAGATTTTAGATATTTTTTTTTCATTCTGTCATGACCAATAAATATGTAGGTTTTTGGTGTTTTAACTTATTTTGTCTTTTTCCCAGTTGTACTTTTTAACAGATGAATTGATTTTATTGAGTATCATCTGTATAGCTACTATATAAACAACCACTTTGCGCCCTAGAATATAATGAGCCCTTTATTTCTTTATAAACTAGTAAAATCATGTCTGACCGATGTCATTTGCTCCTAATTCATTAGTGGGTTGCTTACCTGAATAGATTGTACATGTTCAGCCCACAGAATAGCTGGTTGATCTCTTATACCTGCTTTTTTTACCTAGACGTAAACCTGAAATGAAAAAAAATGTTGTTTTCCCCTTTTTTTTACAGAGGCACTTCTTCAGAAATATTGGATCCATTCTTGCCTATGCTTTCTTTGGTACTGCAGTCTCATGCTTCATCATTGGGTGAGTCATAAAAGTGTGACGATATGGATGATTTACGGTCATACAGCGAAGGGATGTTTGAAAATGATATCTCTGCTTGTGTCTGCATACTGTGCTTCATCCAGATTGTGCGCTGGCAGCAAGACCGCTATATTTATCTTCCAGTTTTCTGACCCTGCAAAAGATTAGTGCAGCTATAAATAATATGCAAAAAAGGAACCGTGTGCTTTTCACAATGAGATCTTGTGTACTGTTCATCTTATACCTTATGCTGCAGTGTATTACTTGACACTTGTCTTTGACTGAAACATGGAATGGGATGAAATAAATGCTTGTGATGCTTCCTAGCAACCATTCATCTTCAAGTATACACTGAAAGCAACAGTGGGAGAGTAAAGATTGATTTTAATTGGTTGTTATGATGCCACACCGATACCTTTCTGGTACATTTTATTCCTAGTGACAGAATCCTTCACACTGGAAGGGATAGTTAAGCTGGCCATGCGCGGCTGACGCTGTGGAAGATTTCTGCTAAATCAGACATGATTTGAAGTTGTGGGTTGCCCTTTTGGCAGCACCTGGCTCGGCAAAAGTCACTTTAAAAAAAAACAAAGAAGCCAGATGGCAAGTTTTTGGTCAAACAGTGGCTGCATTTAATCAGATGCAGTCACTGTTTGGGTATTCAGATAGGGTGTCCTCGATCTACATGGTTTATTGTAGATGGGGGAATTCATTGACTTCCCTTATTCAGTCAGCTGGCTGAATGAGCGAAAACTAAACCTGTATGGCTTGCTTTAGTTTCTCCTTATGGTACATAGAGGGAAGGACAAGAACTCTTATGTTCTGTATCATGTCTTGTGAGCAGCAGATCTGGGCACTGATCCCTTACAGGAAAGGAAACATTTCAGGATGTGCAATGGAAATATAGGGTTTTGATCCTAGAGAAATATATAGATAGAATATGGTAAGCTTTTTATAAGCTTGGAAATGCCTTTAAAATTACTGAATAAAGTTTTGGGAGTAGGGATGGTCCAGCAGTGGTGTCTGTAAAAATCTTAATTCCTATAAAGTTCAGCTTTTTTTTTTTTTTTTTTCAGAAAAAGTACAATGGAAGGGCCTCATCAAAACTGGCGTAGCCACAATTATTCAGAATCTGGAGCATCCATGCATGGCAATTAATCCACTTATCTGTTTCATTTTCAAAGCTTAAAAAAGAACTTTACCCAGAACAATCAGTTTCCAGATTTTATTGGCAAAGCTTAATTGAACAAGCTGAAGTTAGAAGCTGATTATCTACCATGCACAGTCGCACCAGATTCTGAGTGCTCCAGTTTTAGTAAATCTACTAAACAATGTTTTTTTTCCTGAAGCATTAAGGTATTTGAATTTAATAATCTAAACAGTATGGCAAAGTGTTGCCCTGCCAGGGTATAGAAAGAGGTTATGACCCAGGATTTTCAATCAGGTGGGTTGAGGGGCTCCAGGGAGCTTGTGTCATGGAGAGGAAACTGGCTTTTCATTTTCCTCAGTGTTTGGTAAAGTCCATGCTGGGACCTGGAGCATGGAGATTTCAAAGTGACCCAGTTGGTATTAAATCTCCAATCCTGAGTCCAGGTTTTGTGAACAGCCAGCACACTAATTGGTCAGGTGTGTGTTGGGATTTTAGTAGTGACCTGACCATGGTTCTGGGCTCCACCCCGGCAGAAAGGAGGTTTGGCCCAGGAGGTCTGGTGCTGCTAAGTGTATGGTTGAAATGTTGGTGAGCGAGCAGTCTGTAGAAGACCGACAAGGGCCTGGAGGTCTATACCCGTGACCCCCCAGAGCAAAGGTCCCCATAGAGTAAGGCCAGAGCAGCAGTTCTGCAAGTGCAAGCCAGAAGGGCTGAATGTTTGTGTTTTGTTTTTGGATGGGTGACAAATGCTGAATACACCTGTGTGGGGAAGCTCAGTGATTTCTGAACTTTTTCTTTTAATAAAATTTGGCAAGAAAAGCCCGTAAAAGAAGAACTAGAGTGGCTGCCTCCTTCAATGGTAGTTCTTGCAACAGTTACAGAATATCAGACGCACAATTTTTTTATTCTATTTTATTTTCTATCACATGATACCTGGTTACAAAGAGCTCCTTTTTTCATCTATTTTTTTGTATTGAAGACCTTATTTGAGGCTGCAATAATCCCAAGTATTCTAGTACAGGGCTTAAAATTTTGAGTCTAGACCTACTAGACAGGCACAAACCTTACTCTCCACCAGATGCCCCACCCAACCTTGCCCAGGTCCTCCCCCAGCCCTGCCTCCAACCACGCCCCCTTAAAGCTTATGAAATTACATTTTTCTTTAGAATAAAGAGTCCAAAATATAAAAAAGTGTAATTATAACATAGCTTTATTATGTCAATTTAAACATAACAGCAATAGCTTAATAGCAATAGGGTGCAATCAAAATATCAAGTTTTACAGCTTTAAACCTGTAATGAACATTTTTGTATTTTTTTGTTTATCTCCTGCATCTTTAAAGAGACTTTTTAATATGACAATATGATTTTTGTTAGTGAGCACATATTTTCAGTTATTATTGCAGTTTTTTTCCTTAAACTGATTTTTTTTAATAATGCTTTTATATTTTTATTATTCATTTATTAAAGTCCAGTCGTATTTTAGCAGAAAGTTATACAAAGAAAATCAATGTGTTTTGCAGTGGTTTCTCTACAGTGATCCCCAAGGCGGAGAGCGGGCCTCTTCTCGTGTCCCCTGCCGTGGGGGAGAGTGGACCTCTCCTCGAGTCCCCCACGGCGGTGGAGAGGGTGTCTCCTCTCAGCGGAGGTGCTCATCTCCTGCACCTGTCCCACAGCGGCACTGCCGGTGTAATGGCGGTGCTGAAGAAGCCAAAAACCAGAAGTTGGAAACCGGAACTCGGCTTCACAATGAGGCTTGGAGCGCAGGTGCAGCCGCTCCATCTATCATCTGTGCTCGCCACTCGCCAAACAAGAATTTCTCCTTGCATTGGGCAAGCAGCTTTTTCAAGCCCTGTTCTAGTATATAGTATTTTTTCATCTGATTAGCAAATACACAATCCTGTACACTCACCGGCCACTTTATTATGTACACCTTGCTAGTGCTAAGAAAATATCCCCCACACCATTAAACCAGCACCAGCCTGAACTGTTGAAAGCATGGATCTATCCTGCCTTGTATTAGGTTGTTTACGCCAAATTCTGACCCTACCATCTGAACGTCGCAGCAACCAGTCTACCCATTCTCCTCTGACATCGATAAGCCATTTTCGTCCACACAACTGCTCACTCAATAGTTTCTCTTTTTTGGGCCCTTCTCTGTAAACCCTAGAGATGGTTGTATGTTAAAATCCCAGTAGATCAGCAGTTTTTGAAAATACTCACACCAGTCCTTCTGGCACCAACAACCATGCCACGTTCAAAGTCACTTACTTCCCCTTTCTTCCCCATTCTGATGCTTGGTTTGAAGTTTAGCAAGTCGTCTTCACCACGTCTTTATGGCTAATTGCATTGAGTTGCTGCCATGTGATTGGCTGATTAGCAATTTGTGTTACCAAGCAATTGAACAGGTATACCTAATAAAGTGGCTGGTGACCGTATAATTTAAGGAAAACTGCTAACTTCATTGGAGATTCCTAAATATATCTGTCCTGTAGATACTTGAGTCATTACAGGAACTTCCATAGACAGATTTTTAGGAGCTAGGATCTGCCTGCTATACCACACAATCAGTTCCACTGTTGTAGAAAGTACAAATCTGAAACTCCGTGTCTGTTAATATGCAATACTCTTGTCTGGTATATCACCAACAATAAAGGTGCAGTGCAGCAAACATAAGGATCGTGGTGGGAATACTAATATTTTACCTCAAACTTTGTGCAAATGTCAGAGAAAAGCTGTGAACTTGCTTGTAAAAAAATTATCCTGTGTATATATGTGTGTGTGTGTGTGTGTGTGTATATATGTGTGTATATGTGTGTGTGTATATATATATATATATATATATATATATATATATATGTGTGTGTGTGTGTGTGTATATATATGTATGTATGTATGTATGTATGTATATATATGCACCAAAATGAAAATTCTGGTGCCGAAACCGATTACGAAAATTCAGAATGCATGTGTCCAAAAACCAAACTGAAACCGAAATGTCTGCGTATGTGGGGGTGGGGAGGCTCTATTTTTTTTTCTGTATTTTTTTTCTATTTGTATGTGTGTGTGTGTGTGTGTATGTGTGTGTGTGTGTATGTATGTGTGTATGTATGTGTATGTATGTATGTATGTGTGTGTATGTATATGTGTGTATATATATATATATATAATGTGTGTATGTGTATATATGTGTGTGTGTGTGTGTATATATATATATATATATATAAATATTATTTACTTTTTTTTTTTTTTTTTTTTTAATTTCTGCCTTTAATGCTATCACATAGGGGACCAGTAGTCCCCTATGTGATAGCATATGAGTGACAGGTCCTCTTTGTAGGGGGGAGGATGTGGGGAGGAGCAGTATATACAGTGAGGTAGTAGTGTATACAGAGAGGCTCCCTCACTGGCTGTCACTATATGTCAGTGCTGATTTTTAAATGCAATTGCCGCCTTTTTTTTTTCCTTCACTATAGCTCACAGAATTAGCTGTCACTTTCCCCAGAGCTAAAGGAAACTTTTTGTTTCTTTTATCTCCAGAAAGAAACTAAAAGGAAATGTTTCTTTTAACTCGGGAAATAAACTAGAAGGAAACTTTTTTGTTTCTTTTAGCTCTGGGGAAAGTGACAGCTGATTCTCTGAGCTATAGTGAAGAAAAAAACTGCCGGTAATTACATTTAAAAACCGGCTCTGACATATAGTGACAGCCAGTCACTGTATACACTGCTCCTGTCCTCCCTTTCCCCCTCACATCTGCAGTACACACAGTCCCCTATATTGGCTAAATTTTTCCTTTTGGCAGAATGCCGATAGGGCTATTTTCGGCCGATATGTTTCAGTGGCCGAAATTTCAGTGCATCCCTAGAGCCCTGCCATCGCCTTTTTGGCTGAATGTGGGTGAACCCGTTATATAAGGCTCTGGATTTCATTGACTCATTCATATGCTCATTTAAGACAGATGGTAGTTAAGCGCTTTGTATGAATATGTGTGTGGCCTGGGTCTGATTTTAAGGAGCTAACGTTATCTTACCTTTTTTAATGTGAATAGAGGATTCTTGGCCTATTGGCCTTATTACCTATTTGTGATCTCAAAAAAGCTGTTCATTTTATTTACACCGCTGTTCTCTTTTAAAACCTTTTTTTTGAGGGGATCTACTGATCTCCTAACTGTTCTTTGACTCTGTCTTGGTTTTGAGGACCCAATCAGCAATCTGTGATCTGGCTTCCCACTGTGGGAGAGGTAATGCTGTTGAACCTGTTTGTTACCGTATTATTTTGACTATATTATTTAAAGGCCCATGACCCAGAATTTTGTCAAAATTACCTGTTGCTTTCTTTTTTTTTCCTCCACATTTCACCTCATTTTATCATTTATCCTGTTTGTACAGCATAAGTGTATTTATGTACTGGACAAACTCAAAATTGCAACATTGGTGGTCAGAAAGTAACATTAAAGAGATTTATTTTTTTCAAATTAAAAAGAAGGAACAGCTACCTACTCTGTCAGTGATATTGCACAGAAATGTAGCTTTCCTCCTATTCAAGTAGTCCCCTCTGGCATTGTAGGCGGTTTTTACCTGAATACAGAGAATGCATTAAGGTAAAAACCTTTAGACTTTAGGACAAATTAAGATCTGCATCACAAGGTCTCTGTGCCAGTCAAACGCTGTGCTATGCTCTAGTTAGACCCATGATTTCTGTCAGACTGATGGATTCTGCGTTTGTGTGTTCCTTACATAAGACAAACGTGGAATGAGAACATCTATAACAAGAGTTCAAGTAATAATTTCCCTTTTGTTTACTTCTGCAGTTGCAAAATAAGAGGCCCCTTGTGGTTTGTGTTTCTTCTCTTATTCCTTACAGAAATGTCATGTATGGAGTAGTGAAATTAATGAAGTTAGTTGGTCAGCTTGATGGCAAGTTTTACTATACCGACTGTCTCTTTTTTGGAGCCATCATCTCTGCCACAGATCCAGGTACACCTAATAATGTTTTATATTTATTGTATGTATTGTGCATTATTTGCCAACCTTTATGGGGGCTATTGTAAATATTTTCACACAGAATTCACAGAACCTTTACCTATACACACAATTTTTACAACTAAATACCAATAAAATGTGAGTCTTTGGTTTAAGTTATGTGAATCTTGTGGCGGGAAAAAATATACATAGACCCTTGTAAGTTTTATTTTATGTTGGTGGCTTCAGGGCAACTGGAAGCGGCTTCAGGGCAACTGGAAGCGGCTTCAGGGCAACTGGAAGCGGCTTCAGGGCAACTGGAAGCGGCTTCAGGGCAACTGGAAGCGGCTTCAGGGCAACTGGAAGCGGCTTCAGGGCAACTGGAAGCAGCTCCAGGGCAAAGTGGGGTCAACAATTGTTAATGCTAAGGGATGAAGGAGAATTTGCACTCGTGCTTTTTTATCCTCTAATTCACTCAAGAGCCTTATCCCATAGGCCTGACGACTTGTAGATGGAATATTTTACCTGGACACAAGTCTTTCAAACTGGGAGTTCAATATGTAGACCAAAGGAACGGGTACAGAGGTGAATAATAATCACACATCACTATTAAACTTAACCCACTAGTCTTCAGAATGCTTGGGTAAGAATTAACCCATTTGTGTACACCTGGTGGACAAAACAATTACTTGTGGTGTGGAATTGTTCCAGTGCCATGTTCCAGCTTGATCATTGGGAACAAGAAAAGTAGGTATTTTGCTTTAGATTTCTGGGCAAGCCGTGTATGTACAGTGACCAGTTCCAGTCCTATCAAAGACAGTCAGATCTTTTTCCCACCCCCATACTACTACAGCCTTTTTTTAAGACATTTTTTTTTAAATTGTATATAAAAGCCACCACTAGCAAAGAACTTTTTGTTTTACTGAATGATTTGTTTTACCTAAGATTCAGCTTAGAAAAAAGATTTTAGCAATTGCCTACATGTCTTGTTAATTACGAACTTATAGTTTACTCTTTTTTTTTTTTTTTTTTTTTTTTTTTTTTTCAAGTGACTGTCCTAGCCATATTCAATGAGCTGCGGGCAGATGTGGACCTGTATGCTCTTCTGTTTGGAGAAAGTGTCCTCAATGATGCTGTTGCCATTGTGCTGTCATCGTAAGTACTTTGCTCCTTCGTTTTATTGAAAATAAAAGAAAATAAAAAGAAAATATAACACAGTAAGGAACAATACAATAGTGACTCGGTGGTTACCAGTGTTGGGGTCCTGACTTGACTTCCCACCAGGGGGCTATCTGCTTAGAGTATGTATTCCCTTTATTTTAAGGCATTTCATTCTGGAGCCCACCAGCTCCTTGTGGATAGTTGTCAGAGATAACTATTATTATTATTATTATTATTATGAAAAACAAAAAATGATACAGCAGGATAAACATGAGACTTGGAGACGGGTAAATTGCATTATGCTGACCTAAGAGTGATTGAATAATGACACCCTTTTGTTTTTTTGGGAGGATGCATGTTGTCTGCTCTAAATCCAAGTTGACTAGGCCAAAATTCAAGCCATGGGTGGCCGTGCAAGAACTTTTAGTTGGCAGAAGTAGAGCCATGTGGAAAAATGTTTGGCCAAACATTAACTGTCAAATCAGATGCAGTCACTGTTCAGCAGTTCAATTATATTTAGGTAGGCCCACAAGCTAAATGAGAGAAAATTGAGTCATCTAAGGCCAGCTATAGTTTAATATTTTTCCTGACCTATAAAGAGCCTTTTTGATTCGTTTTTAATATCCCTTGCACTTTATTTCCTCTACAGTTCTGCTGCTGAATTTAGCCACAAATGTCTGTTTTCCCAGATGTTAATAATGTTCTGTGTTTCTTAGGTCCATTGTTGCTTATCAACCAACTGGGGAGAACATGCACACCTTTGATGCTGCTGCCTTTTTCAAGTCTGTTGGCGTTTTTGTCGGCATTTTCAGTGGGTCTTTCGCAATGGGTGTTTGTACCGGTGTAGCAACAGCTCTTATATCCTTTCTTTTGCACACAGAATTATCTGTTTTCTCACATAATGCTTGTAACTCATACTTGTATTCTTTAACCAGAGAATGACTGTTGGTTTTTTTTTTTTTTTTTTTTGAGTGCTTCCTGTTTTCCCCGTTTATGCAACCCACATAGTTACAAGGGATGTTCTGAGCAATTTTTTGCTCTGCTTACTTGAGGTGATTGTTTCTGTTGCAAATGCACCAATACAGCTAAAATCGAGTACTGGCCGTGTTACTTTTTTTAAATTTTCTTTGCACTAACATATCATTTTTCAGGACAAGCTTTCCGGGGTGTTTCCCCTTATTCAAGGTCTAAAGAGTATTGCTTTGACATTGAAGAAGGGAGTACAACCCGAAAGCTTGTCCTGAAAAATTGTATGTTGGCACAAATAAAATAAAGTATCACGGACAGTACTTACCGTATTTTTTGCTCCATAAGACACACCTGATCATAAGACACGCCTAGTTTTTAGAGGAGGAAAACAAGAAAAAAAAAATATTCTGAACCAATGGACTGCAGACATAGTAGAGGAAATGACCAGAGACTGCAGATGTACTACAGGAGATGACCGGAGACTGCAGATGTACTACAGGAGATGACCGGAGACTGCAGATGTTCTACAGGAGATGACCGGAGACTGCAGACGTACAACAGGAGATGACCAGAGACTGCAGACGTACTACAGGAGATGACCGGAGACTGCAGACGTACTACAGGAGATGACCGGAGACTGCAGATGTACTACAGGAGATGACCGGAGACTGCAGATGTACTACAGGAGATGACCGGAGACTGCGGATGTACTACAGGAGATGACCAGAGACTGCGGATGTACTACAGGAGATGACCGGAGACTGCGGATGTACTACAGGAGATGACCGGAGACTGCGGATGTACTACAGGAGATGACCGGAGACTGCGGATGTACTACAGGAGATGACCGGAGACTGCGGATGTACTACAGGAGATGACTGGAGACTGCGGATGTACTACAGGAGATGACCGGAGACTGCGGATGTACTACAGGAGATGACCGGAGACTGCGGATGTACTACAGGAGATGACCGGAGACTGCGGATGTACTACAGGAGATGCAAAAAATATTTAAATGAAAAAATATTCAAGTGGCACATGCATTTATATAAAATTCCCACAACAATATATAATTATAAATGTTGATATCAATAATCTATATAATACAAAAAAGTCCAAATAATTCAGTCCATCCAGTGATCACCACGTGAAAAACTCATGAATAATTCATAAAAATGACTCATTCAGTCCAGCAAATAATCACCACGTGGATACCTGTGCAAAAAATATATCTGTGTAGTGCTCCCCTCTCAGGTGTGCACTCACCAAACAGTGTTGCCTCCCACTCTCATGGTTGGCACACTGAACTTTGATAAATAATTCTCCAAGGCCCAAATCAAATATTTCTTCCTTCAACCAGTAGTACTGGACTCCTAGGATAACCGTTCCCGATCTCGAAAGCCAATAAATCTTCCTTCCAATGCTCCACTCATAATATATCATATAGAAGATGAAAGACGAGAGAACCCCACATGGTGCAGTACCATTTAAAACATTTATTCGCCACAGTCAGTAGAATGCTACTTACAAAATGCAAATAGTATTAAAGCCCAAAGATATTGATTGCTTGAGTTACTTATGAGAGGAAAGCCGGAACAGTTATCACACCACTGCTGACCCTCGATCTCAGATGCTCCCGCGTCACTTCCGGTTCCGGTCCGCGTCACAATAAGTCTGCTTGGAGAATTATTTATCAAAGTTCAGTGTGAACACCATGAGAGTGGGAGGCAACACTGTTTGGTGAGTGCATACCTGAGAGGGGAGCACTACACAGATATATTTTGTGCACAAGTATCCACTTGGTGATTATCTGGTGGACTGAATGAGTTATTTTTATGAATTATTCAATTGCCCAGAGTTTTTCATGTGATCACTGGATGGACTGAATTATTTGGACATTTTTTGTATTCTATAGATTATTGATAATATCAATATTTATAATTCTATATTGTTGTGGGAATTTTATATAGATGCATGTGCCACTTGAATATTTTTTCTTTTAAAATATTTTTTGCACGTTTTATAATTAAAAGTGGCAGCGTGGAGCTTGGGACACGGTTATAATTTCAAAAGAGATTATTTTGAGGAATTTAAAGTAGGTTGTGTGGTATTTGGGATACGGTTATAAAAGGTATATGTTGGGGAATTTATATTTATTCAGCGTGGTTTTGGGAGTTTTCGCATTCATAGTACAGGAGATGACCAGAGGCTGCGGACCTTTTGGGGAGCGGGTACCCGAATTTTGACAGGTACACGCTCCCACGTCCACTGCAATTGCCTAGGCGATCGGAAGTGGAAGATGTCCTCCCTCCCCGTAGTCTTCTGGGACACGTGACAGGTCCCAGGAGACTATGGGACCATTCACAAAGCGCAGCGCTTCTTGCGCTTGCACAGTGGGCACCTGACTGTGAAGCAGCAAGCTGTAACAGCTGGGTGCCCACACTGAAGATGTCGGCGCCGGTGAGGGAAGACGGCTGGTGAAACCAGCGGTGATGAGGACACCTCTGGACCGAGGAGCAGGTTCAGCTGCACAGAGGCGCCAAGCAACTGGCCTAGTGTTCTAACGCGGCAGCGACGACGGGGAATACTGAGCCGGCCGCTCCATATTCACTTCAAAAGACGCACAGACATTTTTCCCCGTTTGTTTGGGGGGGGGGGGGGGGGGGGGTAGTGCATCTTATGGAGCGAAAAATAGGGTAATTGTGTCTTGCTCAGCTTAGAAAGATATTTACCCATTAAAACATGAACCCTGGGGCTAAACAGCTGTACTTGAAATCTGTAATGGAAGCAGCCACTCCCTGACATATATAAAAGTATAAGGACTGCCAGATTTCAACTGATGTCTTGGCTTTCCATGCCTTTTTGCACCTCCCTTTCTTCATGTGTTCAGTACTTTTTCCCTGCATCATTCCATTTTATTACAAATAACTTAATTTCTGAACTTATTTGTTTTGGTTTCTTTGTATGTATGGATTGCATGGTTGTAACCAACGTGGTGAAAATTTAATGTCAATAGCACCTTTAGAAATGTACTTACTGAGAAAAATGGTGACGTGTTCAATTTTACTCACTGTATATGCGTTTAGAGCAGCGTTTTTCAACCACTGTGCCGCGGCACACTAGTGTGCCGTGAGATATTGTCTGGTGTGCCGTGGGAAAAATTCCAATTTCATCCGCAACATGTGGCCTCGGCTCACAAATAGACCAATCGTTAGAATCTAATGATTGGTCTATTTGTGAGCCGAAGCGCATGTTACGGACTATAAATAGCTCCGGTGTCACTGTTACACTGACAGGAGAAGACATCGCAGTAGATCGCCGATGCGCAGAAGAGCACCGAAGGATCTGGACTCTGGAGGATTATCGCGGACTCAGCACAGAAGAGCGCTGAGTGATGGATCTGGAGGAGACAGGAGCAGAAGAGCGCTGACTGATGGATCTGGATGGAGTGTGACGGACAGCGGCTATCTGGAGGAGACAAGCGCAGTAAGTACTGAGTGACAGTGAGACAGGAACAGATACTGCAGTGATGGACAAATTTTTGAAAAGGAAAGAACTGGACTCTGAACAAAATTCGGAGCCAGATAAGAGCCCAAGTATGAGTGGGGATCAAAAGAAAGCAAAGATGGTTAGCTCAAGGAAATTCTCTGGCACAAGGCAATATAGTGAAAGCTATATTTCATTTGGATTTACTTTCACCGGAGATGCAAAGAAACCAACTCCACTGTGTGTGGTGTGTGGTGAAAAGCTATCTAACAGTGCTATGGTCCCAAGTAAACTTAAACGCCATCTCCAAACGAAACACCCTTCGCTTCAAAACAAGAATGCGGACTTTTTTGTTCACCTGCATGAAAACACGGAGAAACAGGCAACTTTCATGAGAAAAACCACAAAGGTAAATGAAAGAGCTCTTAAAGCTAGCTATCAAGTTGCTGAACTTATAGCCAAGTCAAAAAAGTCGCACACTGTGGCAGAGACATTAATACTTCCCGCCTGCAAAGCTATTGTAGAGGAGATGCTCGGACCTGAAGCAGCTAAGTCAATATAGGCACAGAGGTAAATTTTTTTTAACATTTTCTAATGGTGGTGTGCCTCGTGATTTTTTTCATGAAAAAAGTGTGCCTTTGCACAAAAAAGGTTAAAAACACTGGTTTAGAGGACATTTCTCAATGCTTGTATTGATTTATTTTTTTTAATGGTGCCCTTCACACTGTGCGTCTAGCTGTGGTCAGTTTAGTTGTGTTTAGGAAAAATAACATTCTGTGCATCCAGGATCTGATTAGACATTCTAAATGTGGCTAAATCTGCCTAAACATGACTAAACCTGCTTTTAAAGCAGGAACATCTAAATGCGGAAAAAAAAATCTACAAGGCATTAAAGTTCTATATACTTCTCTGCATTTAAAAAAACAAATTATAGAGTGCCAATGTGAATGAAGCCTTAACTCAAAAGTGCCAAGTCTTGTCTCAAATGCTGTTCTTCATAATCGTTTTTATGGTCTTCTGAGAAAATTGCCTTCCTGGGGGGGGGGGGGGGGCTATTCACAATGGGCTTAAAAAACGCCAGTTCCCTCATATAAAGCATTTTTGTGCACGTATTTAGGGTTTTTTTTTTTTTTCCTTCCTGACAACTCCTCCCAAAAATGTTATCCAGAAGGGTTTTTTTTTTTTTCTTTTCTGTCTGTAAAAACTGAGCTTAAAATATGCCTCTAAACATCCTAGTGTGTATGGGCATATAGAATAACATTGAGCTGCTTCTACAGGCAAAACACACAGGTCCTGTAGAATTTATGGACATATAGAATAACATTGAGCTGCTTCTACAGGCAAAACACACAGGTCCTGTAGAACGTATGGACATATAGAATAACATTGAGCTTCTTCTACAGCAGTGGTTCTCAACCTTTCTAAAGCCGCGACCCCTTAATACAGTTCCTCATGTTGTGGTGACCCCCAACCATAAAATTATTTTCGTTGCTACTTCATAACTGTAATTTTGCAGTGGGAGGACTAGTGCCACATCATTGGTGTCAGTGGAAGGAGTAGTGCCCCATCACTGATGTCAGTGGGGGGAATAGTGCCCCATCGTTGGTGTCAGTGGGGGGAATAGTGCCCCATCGTTGGTGTCAGTGGGGGGAATAGTGCCCCATCGTTGGTGTCAGTGGGGGGAATAGTGCCCCATCGTTGGTGTCAGTGGGGGGAATAGTGCCCCATCGTTGGTGTCAGTGGGGGGAATAGTGCCCCATCGTTGGTGTCAGTGGGGGGAATAGTGCCCCATCGTTGGTGTCAGTGGGGGGAATAGTGCCCCATCGTTGGTGTCAGTGGGGGGAATAGTGCCCCATCGTTGGTGTCAGTGGGGGGAATAGTGCCCCATCGTTGGTGTCAGTGGGGGGAATAGTGCCCCATCATTGGTGTCAGTGGGGGGAATAGTTCCCCATCATTGGTGTCAGTGGGAGGAATAGTGCCCCATCATTGATGTCAGTGTGGTGGAGGGGGAAATAGTGCCCCATCTTTGGGGTCGGGGGGGGGAATAGTGCCCCATCGTTGGTGTCTGTGGGGGGGAGGAATAGTGCCCCATCGTTGGTGTCTGTGGGGGGAGGAATAGTGCCCCATCGTTGGTGTCTGTGGGGGGGAGGAATAGTGCCCCATCGTTGGTGTCTGTGGGGGGGAGGAATAGTGCCCCATCGTTGGTGTCTGTGGGGGGGAGGAATAGTGCCCCATCGTTGGTGTCTGTGGGGGGGAGGAATAGTGCCCCATCGTTGGTGTCTGTGGGGGGGAGGAATAGTGCCCCATCGTTGGTGTCTGTGGGGGGGAGGAATAGTGCCCCATCGTTGGTGTCTGTGGGGGGGAGGAATAGTGCCCCATCGTTGGTGTCTGTGGGGGGGAGGAATAGTGCCCCATCGTTGGTGTCTGTGGGGGGGAGGAATAGTGCCCCATCGTTGGTGTCTGTGGGGGGGAGGAATAGTGCCCCATCGTTGGTGTCTGTGGGGGGGAGGAATAGTGCCCCATCGTTGGTGTCTGTGGGGGGGAGGAATAGTGCCCCATCGTTGGTGTCAGTGCGGGGGGGGGAGGAAATAGTGCCCCATCATTGGTGTCAGTGGGAGAAATAGTGCCCCATTGTTGGTATTAGTCACACAAATGATGGGGCACTATTCCTCCCACTGACACCAATGATACTTACCTTGCTGATCCCTGCTCCAGCCTGGGCTTGCTCTCTCACTTACCTGTCAGCTGTCTTCCTTCTCTGGCCACTCTCCTCTTCACTTACTCCGGCAGTTCCCTCGATCTTCTTAGATCTACGCGCGCTGCCGCTCGGCTCCTCCTCTCCAAGCTCCACCTCCTCGCCGGTGATTGGCCGCCTGTGTGCCTCTCCTGAGCTACAGTTCCGGTGGCCAATCAGCGGCGAGGAGGCGGAGTTGTTGAGGGATCCCGGAGGTGTGGCCAGGTGACAGGGCAGTGTGTCATCCCGCCCACACATCGACTGAGTCAGAGGAGCGGTGTCTCGGTTCCTAAGACCATCGGAAATATGTGTTTTCCGATGGTCTTAGGCGACCCCTGGGAAATGGTCGTTCGTCCCCCAAAGGGGTCGCGACCCCCAGGTTGAGAACCGCTGTTCTACAGGCAAAACACACAGGTCCTGTAGAATGTATGGACATATAGAATAACATTGAGCTGCTTCTACAGGCAAAACACACAACTCCTGTAGAATGTATGGACATATAGAATAACATTGAGCTGCTTCTACAGGCAAAACACACAGGTCCTGTAGAATGTATGGACATATAGAATAACATTGAGCTGCTTCTACAGGCAAAACACACAGGTCCTGTAGAAACAGTGTTTTTTTTTTGATGCCCAGTGTGCATGGATCCTAACAGTGATTTCTTTATTATGATTTGTTGGTTTTGCTTTCCACAACTTGTCTGATAGGAAACTGTTAAGTTGTTTTTTCTCTTAACTGGTTGGTAACGTAACCAAGTTTACCAAGCTGCACTGCTTCCCCTTGCTGGAGACGGCCTTGTTTTTCTTACTATCGTGGAGTACTTTTCTTCTGGCTGAAGCGTGTGGCTTTACAGGTAACTGTATTCAGAAATGTGCATGATGAATTGTGTATGTGAGTAAGTGATGGTTGTGTTTATTATTATACCAGTTTGGCTGCTTTCAGCATGGTTGGTGGCTGACATACCTTTTATAAATGTGTATGGTGGTGTATAGAATCCCGTCTCAGCTAATTGTAACTTTCATGGGACATAGAAAATGGCCTAAATCCACTTGTTTAAAAAAAAAAAAAAAAAAAAAGCAATTTGTTACATTTTTGTAGTTTCTGACATACTAGCACTATAAAAAGAAGGAACTCGCACATAAGGAATGTCAGTCAGCCTATATTTGCCCAAGGCTCCTTAGCCAGCATGCTATCATAGTGAGGCCCAAGTGCTGAATGTGTAAAGGGTGGAAAAAAATTTCTCTGTTTTAAGTATGATTGATTCAGTCAGACTTGCCACTAATATTGTATACCAGCTTGTTAGCACTCAAAAGACTGCTTCTGAAAACTTCTGGAGGTGCCAGCATTCCCTTCTGTGCGTAGAAAAAGGCAGGCATCATACACGCATTAGATGCACTGTTGAATCAAACTGGTGATTTGTATATGAGGTATAGGCTCTATTATAATCTTTATATTGTAACCATTCTGGTTTTGTCGGATGCTTGTCTCTTCTGCCCACAGACAGTTCTTTCCCACCCTCTTGCTATGCCACCAGGGTGTCCTTGCAGCACAACCCAGAAATAGACATCCTATCTGCTTGACATTTCTCAGACAGAACAGAATGTGAATGGAAGGCTTTTTCCTTTAGTCCAGCTGATGGGTGTCATACAGAATAGACGATAAACTGCTCCTATGTAGACAGTTTATTTTTAAATCTAACAGAAAAAATATCCTTGAAGCGGAACTAAATTTCAATTTAACGATTTAAAAAAAAAGTTGCTGTAACATTTGCTTGTGCTCTCTACCAAACTGTCAAACCATCAAATGGGTGGTGTCATAGCTGATCACTTGTGCAGCACCGTGGTAGTTGAAGATCAAACAGAGGCTAAGATGGCAGCTTCCTTGGCTGAAAAGGATGGGAGTGTTTTTAGTTCCAATTTACTGGGTATATGGACAACTGGGTATATGGACAACATTTAAAATCTGGCAAAAAAATTCAAACCCCTCTCCACTGTATTTTAAAACCAGCAAAACCAAGTTTTGACTCAAGTTGGACATTAAGGGTTCGTTAACACCATACCTGCAAGAAAACTGATGTAAACTGATGTCTTTGCAAGTGAAATCTGTGCGTCAGTTTTCACGCGCATTTCAATTGGTTTTATACACGTTGAAGATTCTTGTGCAAAAATAATCTGCACGTGATACTAGTGTTTTGGTGTGAACAAGGCACATAGATAACAATTGAGCTGGTTGTGCCCTTGCAGAATGCGCGTCTCTGCAAATGAAATGTGCACGTCGGTTTCCATCAGTTTTCATGCATGTTCGGTGTGAATGAGCCCTCTAGTTGAATTCCAGGAATTCAGTTACTTTCTAAAATGTGCCGGATTGCTATGGGTTAAGTCTAATGAGATACATGCCACCTTGTGGACGTAATTCATAGTATACATTTTTACTGAGCGCAGGAATCCTAGTTATTGCTATAGTTCCAGCGGTCCAAATTTGGACCTTCTGCTCTTTGCCGCTGCAGAGATACCTGCAGCAGCTGGGTCCCCTCCTCTTGCACAATCACAGAGCACTTTGTAATATGTGAACCCATTCAGAAATGATAAAGCATTCTGTGAATTAACAGCAGAGGGGAGGGGTAAGCAGAACTGCTGTGGGTGGGAAGACTATGTATTTCTTGTCAGAGTGCCTAGAGTGTAGTGATAGTTGTACTCCTGGAGCTCAGATGTAAATAAGAGGTAAGTCCACAAGGTGCCATGCACCACATCAGACTTAACTCATTATAAGCCAGCACATTTTACAAAGTGTCTGAATTCCTGGAGTTCAGCTTTCAGAAATTGGACTGTTTTTTTTATATTAGAAGCCCTTTTAACTTTGATTGTACAATTCGTTCTGACGCTTTCATATTGTAATTACAGGAGTAGTTGCTGTCCTGTTTTGTGGTATCACACAAGCACATTATACATATAATAATTTATCTGCGGAGTCCAGGAATCGAACCAAGCAGGTAATGAGCGCTGCTTCTGTTTTCTTTTTTCATTAGGAAATAAAATTATACTGCTAGAGTTTGTGATATAAACAGCCATTGAAGATATACAGTGAGATGTCATAAATGTCTTTTGTGCCACCAATTACCTAATTGATTTGTACAGATTAATTATGTTATGAACAAACTCATTTAAAAATAACTTTTTTAATATTGAAAATGCTTATCTGCTGGGACACGTAGCAGCCAGTTTGTTTTGGCTTCCATAGGGTAAACTGCATCTGAAAACTAATTTAAAAAACTGAAGCAGGTTTCCTCAGACATCAACTTTGTGTTTGCTTCAGGTTTTTTTTTTTAATCTGTGTTTATTAAAAAATGAACACTTAGCTACAATGTGTTGGTTGTTCTCCCAGCCTAATAAAACACAGCGGTGATCATGGAGGCGACTATGCTGAGCTCCTACACTGAACTCGGAAACCTTGTATATAAGGGGCCGACATCCAGCTCAGCTATTATCAACACTATGAGGACGAACCTTAGGGTTTGGAAGCAGGCCAGGGTCCAGTATGGTACGAATACCACTTACTCTCCCCATACTTCGCTGTGGGGCAACCCTGCACTCCCTCACATGATCACTGTGCTGGATCCTGTCATATTTGCTAGATATGGCATTTATAACATTACAAAATATAATGCAACGGAGGACTCTTACCCTTTGATGAGCTTGAAAACATTTACAACCTGCCTAATCGGATGTTCTTTTGTTTTCTTTAACTGTGGCACGCGATTGCTTCTCATTTCCCAACTTTCCCAACCATTAAGACTGACCCTTTGGAAAGCATGTTAAGAGGAAGACCTACCTACACCTCTGCCCTCTATTTTGGGAGTGGGCATGGGAGACAGTGAGGTGTAAATAGATTCCCTTTACAATAAATGGCATACGGGCAGTCCATCCCTCTCAGTGGATGACTGGGAGGACTGCCTTCTGCAATTATGTTCCTACCATGATCCCTGCCAGAGATCGATATATTCAACTGAAAATTATCCATAGAGTGTATTCTACCCCTCAGCGACTAGCTGCAATTTATCTTGTCAGACCAATGGCTTGCCCCTGTGATATGGCAGAGGGCACGTTTGCTCACATGGCTTGGTCTTGTTCAAAATTATGTACTTTCTGGGCAGGAGTATTGGATGCCATTAACAGTTGGCAACCTTTCTGTCCCTATTGACCCCTTAGTACTGCTGCTAGGACTCACTGATTTTGTGGAGGCATCTAAACTTGTCAGACTGTTTATTTTCTTTTTTGGCGATTATGCTAGAAGGGAAAACCTGTTGAAATGGAAATTACCTACTCTGCCCTCAGTTTCTAGCTGGAAGGTGGCGATCAACGGGGCTCTTCCCCTATGTTAGCTTATGTACATCAGCTGGAACTGTCCTGCTAAATTTGACAATATTTATGCTGGCTGGATAGAGGCGCAGGACGTTGTTTAGATGTTGACACCTCGCAGTATATAATTGGGGGTTGTCTATTGTAACTTGTGTATTGTACCGTTCCTCTCCCGCTGTCTGCCCCCCCCTTTTCATCTTTCCTCTTCATCCTCCCTCCCTTCCCCTTTCGTCCTTCCTTTACTTCTTTATTCCTCCCCTTACCCCATAACTTTCTCTCCCCTCCTCCCATTCTCCTTACATGCCATACCCCTCCACACTCCTTGTCCCTCTTCTTTTTAGTTATACTCCAATCCTTGGTACTGTCAGGTTCTTGATTGCCACATTTCCCTAGGCTATTTGCTTAACTACTTATGGAACTGTTTTGGACTACTAATTGCATGACTCCTAAGACCTTTTGTCAATGGTGTATATTATGTTGTTTACTGCCCATTTGATTTGGTTTATGTGTACCTTTACTTGTTCATGCTGCTGAACATATTTAATAAATGCAACTGTTATAAAAAAAAAAAAGAGTGCTGGCCTAGCTGCTGTACTAGCACAAAGCGTGATAAAATCTATTGATTTACCAGTTTTCCCAAAAGGTTACATTAAAGGCGTGCTGCCAGTGGTATCTGTCAAGCAATAAAATGGTTGGTGTCATAACTGATCACGTCCAGCACCATTTCAACTGCAGATCTCGCACAGAGGCTTACATGGCAGCTTTCTTAGCTGTGAAGAATAAGCGGGTTCTGCTTTGAAGGAGCCTGTTCTGTGGGAAGTATATGCCATTGCTCTCCTTCTGGAAGTGCTAGTTGCTGGCTGTCGTACAATTTATGATTTGCCACATGTATCTGGAATAACTATAGAAATCAGGAGTTCTGATTGCACTGACTACTTACTGGTTTTGGGACAGTGATTTAGATGGTATCAAAGAAAGCCAGGCAACTAGATTGTTTAGAAAGAAGTTCTTAATGGTAACATATATATTTTAATATAGGTAATATCATGCAATACTTTTGTCAGGCTGGGGATGTTGAATTGCAAGCTCTATGGGGTTGTTTTACATAACTAAATTGCATTGACTCAATTTCCCCTTTCTTTTTGCCCAGTACATGGCTATATTTTTGATTGGTCATGTTTACTTGTACCATGTCGTAAGGTTTTATAGTTTTAAGAGTTATAATATTAAAGATGCAAGCTCTTGGGAAGCTTAGATTTATTCTTCAAGGTTTATAAAAATGTATAAGGGTCAGTTCACACTAGGACAGGAATGGCACTCTGCATGCACATTTTTTGCACCATGTTCGAACACATTGCCCTTGCGATCTGCCAAGGTATTTGTTATTGGCATCCAAAACACAAATCACAAACGCAGTGTGTTTGCAGGCACCGAATTGCCCAGTACCACAGTATCATGGTGCATTGTTTTTTTTAAAAGTAGTGCAAGCACTCGAATAAGCTGTCAAATGCGGTCCTGGTGTGAACCAACCCTAAAGCTTGAAGAAGGAATCAAAGTTATCCTGAAAGCAGAATATTTCTATCCTTATGTAATTAGCCAACAAAGGATATCAATGAATCCCCAAACCTACATGAATTGATGGCTAACATAGCACAATATTCTCCTACTGCTTTATTTGTACCTTAAAGAAAAAACAATTCTGCAGGCTAGGCAAATTCCATATTGAGTCTTTATAATCTATAGCTTAAGGCAGTACTTGGACCTTTTTACCATCATTTGTTTCATGACTTTAATAAACTCCTTTTGTGTTTTGCTGCAGCTGTTTGAGGTCTTGCACTTTTTGGCGGAAAACTTCATATTTTCCTACATGGGTCTCGCACTCTTCACTTTCCAGAAACACATGTTTAGTCCCATTTTTATTGTTGGGGCCTTTGTATCCTTTATGTGGTGATGGAATAAAGACGGCGTTGCGTTAGGACTTAATACTTGTTTTGGGTGTGAATTTGCTGTTGTCTTGGAGCCCACTGACATGTATGCATTCCATCACAGAATAATTGCTTGGGGCTTTTCATTGCAAGGAAGCAAACAGAATGACAGATGGGTGCCTTAAACAAAACATAACTGGGCTACAGTAAAACTGAAATGCTATTTCATACAGTGTTGTAGAATAATTTACTGTGTGGCAGATTTACTAAAACTGGAGCATTTAGAAACTGGTGCATCTGTGCGTGGCAGCCAATCGGCTTCTAACTTCAGCTTGATCAATTTAAGCTTTGACAATAAAACCTGGAAGCTGATTGGTTTCTACGTGGAACTGCACCAGATTTTGCACGCTCCAATTTTAGTAAATCTCCCCCTGGGAGTTGCAAACAAAGAAATAATTCTTGATCATTGCAGTCATTTCATGCTAAACATGCAACATTATTTATAGAACCAACTGTGATCAGCGCAATTACACTCCCCACCTAAAAAATACTATTAAATACCTCTTTGTTGCTTGCTGAACACAAAAACAGTGGATCCCACTTCACTATCTAAATATATGCACAAATTACTGGTGCAGTGCAACTCTCTAACCGCTTATTGTCCGCCCTATAGCAGAAGTTCTGCTACAGGGTGGCACAGGTGCGCAAAATCATGTGTGTATTATATACGTGATTGTGCAGTTTGGGTAGGGGGTGCACGTGCCCTACCTGCACCACCATTCGCTGCCTCGGCTGTCAATCACCAAGTCCCGACTAGTGATTACTCGCTGGCGCCCGGTGATTGCCGAGTATCTCCAACGGTGGTGGTGGGGGGGTTTGTGAGAACTGTTTGTAAACAATACAGTTCTCTCCCCTGTAAGCTCCTATACACTGCTTTGCATGACTGTGCATAGCAGAGCCATACAAAGCAGTGTGCTTACAATGAAGCGCACACACACAGTACACTATGTAAAAGAGCACACAGTTAACCTTTTGATCGCCACACATGTTAACCCCTTCCTGAGCAGTTCCATTAGTACAGTTTCAGTGCTTTTTATTAGCACTGATCACTGTATTGGTGTCCCTGGGGATGTCAGTGACACCAAGTCCCATTTCCCCCAGTGTCAGAATGCCTGCCGCAGTCCCGCTATGAGTCGCTGATCGCTGCCATTGCTAGTAAAAATAAAAATGAAAAAAAAATCCCAGTGTATATATATCATTATTTGATAACACGATAACGTTCACATAAACCTACTACTGCCCTTTTCTCCATTCGTGAACTTAACTTGCACCACCTGAAAAACGCCGGCGGCCATTTTAAGTAAGTGTAATAGATTCCCACCTCCTAGCACAGGCATCGGCAATGCGTCATCATTCTGGGGCGGAAGTGCCGATACTGGTCTCTTTTCCGCCCACGGACTGCACACACACCACCCGAAGTACACCGATGGCCAACTTAAGTGTGGGTGCCAGGAGATTCCCACCAAACTCCGTGAGAAAACACTCTCTCCATCCTCCACACAAAAAACCAGACACCTACACATTAACCCCACATCTACCTAGGCTACCTCCCTGATACATAAAAACATAAGGAGGAGCCGGTACTGTGTTACCATGCCACCACTATCTTGCTAGGGGAGCGGTGAGCTGGATGTGGATACACATTTTATGGTTTTAGATCTGGAAGTGTTATTTTAGTGGGGGATACAGTAAAGTGTTAGACCGAAACATAGTGCGCTCTGTATTTCTGTTGCATCAGATCAATTTTGGCCTGATGTCAGAGTTAGTGGAAAGCTGGAGGAGATAAGAAGATATGTCACTGTGACTGAGGAGTTGAGTGCACCCAGATGAGCGCATATTGTCTTTTCTTGAGGTGAGCAGGTTTTTCATGTGGTGTGGCGGAAGATCACTGAATATTACTAAAGAAGAAGATATTCAAGGAAGTGATACATGTCACTGAGGGGGATTGTTTATGAACTCTTTAGTTTATCACTTGTATGTGTTTTTCACATGAGTATTTGTTTTCTATCAATTACTAATTTAGAGAGTTGCGCTCACTAGTAATTTGTGATAATTTATAGAACACAGCATGAAAAGAAGAAGTAAGAACTCTGTAAAATACCAACATCTTATCTGCAGTAACTGAACATTAAATAGCACATTTTATTTTGTTCTTTCCTTTGAATAATATGGAGGCTGCCTTTTGCTAACCTCTCTCTCTGGAAATTCTGGTTGTCTGGCTGTGATAACTCTTGCTTGAATATTTTGAGTGACTAACCCAGAAGTGAATATTAAAGGTAGTCAGGCCAAACAGCTAGTATTTCAAGGAGATCAGCATTGGTAGCCTCTGTCTGCTAGGAAAGGTTTGGTTTAACTTTTTTTCAGTTATCTGTTTCTAAACCGAAAGCCCAGTTAACTACCATAAAAAATATATTGGGGTAGATTTACTAAAACTGGTGCATGCAGAATCTGGTGCAGCTGTGCATGGTAGCCAATCAGCTTCTAACTTCAGCTTGTTAAATTAGGCTTTGGAAATGAAAGCTGAAAGCAGATTGGTTTCTATGCAGAACTGCACCAGATTTTGCACTCTTCCCTTTTAGTAAATCAACCCCAATGTGTACATCTCCATACACAAATTTTTTAAAAAAATCCATATAACATATAAAAATTGTTGCTGAAAAATACACAAAATGGTAGCACAAAGCAACAGCTTCAAATCTCTTAATGTTAGAAACAAAAAAACTGCTTCATTCAATGCAACTGCTATATATAAATCCAAAATTAAACCGTTCTCCAATCCACCCAGTGGGTATTAAATCACTCACCAGAACATATTGACCTTTAGGTTAAAAAAAAGGTCTGACGGCATTTTTTTAGTAGTCACCTGTAACAAATCTATGTTGTATTTTAGTATAAAAAGCACAAATAGGAATGTATCATACTGTAGTATATCAATTAAAACAAATTTTATTAAAAAGTGTAAAATTCATTGTGGGAATCTCAGTCTCTTCCTAGCCATTTTATGTTTTAAACATTTTTATCGGCTGTATTACTAGCGTAGATCTTGGATTTACCAGAATGCTGCCAGGAACTGTGCCTAATTTACTAAGCTCTAGAGCAACTGCACTTGCAAAGTGCGTAATCTGTTTGCTTTTAGTAAATCAACCTCGCTGAGTACTTACCTGCTGTTTGTAAGTTCCACTATACAACCGCTATCAGAAAGTTTGGTAATCCAAAGGGTCAGTATGTTCTAGTGAGGGATTTCATACACATCGGGTGGAGTGGAGCATGGTAACCTTTTGGAGATACTGTACATAAGGCCTCGTGCACAAGAGTGTATGAATCAGTGCTCCAAATATGCTGGATTTTTTTTTGGCAGAAAAAATGTCTCTAATGTTGTATATGTATTTATGCATGTTTATGCGCATATGGCATAAGTGAAAATGCATTCTACTGGCTAGAATATTAATTTATTCTGGCCATTGGAATACATTTACATTCGTGCACGCATTTGCATGTGTAAATTATGCTCATAAGCTTCTCTATGAATGTGGCTTTGGTACTTTTTTTTTTTTTTTTATCTCTATCACTTTTCTATGCCTCTAGATCGGTGTTCTAAAAGCAGCATTTAAACACCTGATGGCCACATAGGCTAACTTAGAACTGCGTTTTACGCCTGTAACTGCTGTGTAGTGCCGTACACCTGTAAAAGCAGTGTTTTCTATGCCTATGTGCACAAGAGCTTATATAAGTAGCAGAAGGGTTACATGAAAAAGCAGTTTTTTGTTTACAAGATGAAAAGATACATTTGAAGAAGTTGTTTTGCCCAGGCTATTTTGTATCATTTTCACCAACACAGCATATGAAGAGAGGCTTTTTACATGGACACGAACATTGTATATGTTGTATTGCTAGCTACATTCCAGGTGCATCAAAACAAAAGGTGCGAAAAGTCTTAAGTTTGTGTTCCCTAGACAGCACTTGTTGCTTGCCAGCATGCTGTAGAGAAGGACCTTTGAGTGGTCTCTCTGCAAAGGTCCAACACACACCCATACTGAGTCAAACCTATAACTCTGCAATCAGTAAATCTTGAGCTACTGGCTGTTTGGAGAGCTCTTTCCCTAATTCAGCATGAGAAATGTCAGATCTTTTTAAAAAAAAATTTAAATGAACTGTAAGACTTCACAGCTTTTTGTTTTCATGCACAAAGGAATGTATTTAGTTGATTAAAACTCAGTTCAGTTGACCTTTACATATTTATATTGTTGGTGAAAAATGGGTAGTTTTCAGGTAAATAATGCTGACAACAAAAAAAAAAGTTTGTGTTTTACAAAAAAAAAAAAACACTCATTAGCACACAATGTAAGTAACACTTTAAAAAAATGATGGGTAGTCCATGAACTGCAGTGTTTTGGAACAGTATCACTATTGTCAGGGTCAGCCCTTGTACTATGCATGAAAATAATCCTCTCCTCTATAGCAGTGATGGCAAACCTGTTAGAGACCACTTGTCTATCGCAAAGTGCCAACACAGCAATTAAACCTAAATACTGAGGTTTTAGTTTAGAAAAACCTACACATACATTAACATCTTTTGTCTTAACGCAGTGAAAGAAGTCCCTGAATATTATTTAAACCTGCACCCCACCAAGTTGCATACTGCTGCAGCACTATGCTATTTGGCACATGCAAAAATGCACTGCATTTGCTGATGAATGGGTGCCATTAGGAACTGCTCATTTTACAGGTTGGAGAGGCACCGATGACATCACCGGTGTGGGCTCAGAAGTGTCTCAGCAAAGTGCAGGTGATGGTCAGATTTCAGCAGGGCTGTCATGCGACACCGATGGCCCCATGTCTTACCGCGGTGATCCCATAAACTTTACCGCTCCACTGACCCCAGGATGTCTGTCACTAATCAGAAGGAGGGCTCAATATTCAACTTCCCGGCTCCTGCAATGTACAGGGACACCGCAGTCCCGGCACTTTGTTAGGACTGGTGATGGAAGGTGGCCTGGGGCACCGGCGGGGTGATCGGACAGACGGTGGAGGCTGTAGGTGAGGAGGACTTGCCATACTGTCACTGATCACCAGACCCTCCTCCCTGGATCAGACGGATGATGATCCGAGCTCCATCCTCTCCACTCTCTGCTTCCACTCTCTCCTCTCCGCAGTTCTCTAGTCGGGTAACTAATCGCTCCTCCCTGCAGTCATGTGCAGTCCTATAGAGGCCCTACTCCTTTCCGAGCATGCGCATTGGCCCCTATGTGTGTCGTTGTCAGATGCTTAGCTGCTGGGGCGACTTGGCGCTAGCGTGCTGACGGCTCTGCGTGCCCACTGCGGCACGTGTACCATAGGTTAGCCACCACTGCTCTATAGCTATGAAACTTTGCTAGTATGGATTGACACAAGTATAATATTGTGTTAGGAGATAGATGCAGTGAAAGGAGAGAATCACAAAGGCACTTAGGAGCAAGGTTTCTGAGGATATTAAAGCTTTACCCAAAGGATACGTTAATCACATTTGCAAAGAGGTAGATTATTGAATTACTGTTTTGTGGTACAAACACTAAATTTTATTACTTTACCTACTTTAATTTGCAGCTATTGGAATGTTTGTTTTGTTTTTTTAAATATATAATTTTTTATCATATAGGGCTCATTCACACTGCATGTACATTGAATGCCCCGTTTTAGTGTGCAAGCAGCTGTCCATTTGTAGTTGCAGTGAGGGGCAGTGTGACGTGTGTTTTCAGTGCATTTCACCGTTAACTTGCTTATTTACTATATTTTTTGTTTTTTAATTTGAAGTGCCACGAAGTGATAGCTTTCCAGTGCACTGCAGTAAAATGCTATATGTCCGTGTTTTGCTGCAGCTCCCCATATCTCCTGGAAGTGTGCATTGTTTACAGGTTATACAGAATGCTTGTTTTCTACATGCCCTACCAGTGACTGGCATTTATCCAGTTCAGAAAAATGGCAAGTCTCCTACTATATGTGAATGAACCATAATACTTTCTTTTCTTATTGTTTACAAATATGGTAGCAAGTCGAAATATTAAACTATAATAGAGGTTGATGATCTCTCGAGTTTTTTGAGACCTTGACTTCAATCTGCTGTAGATGTCTGTATTTATTGGGAGAGCAGCTCATATATACCCACTGGCTTTTTTCTTGAACCTGGGCAGACGGCACAAGATTGGGTGGAACTTTCAGCACATGATGATGTTTTCAGGTATGCTAATATCAGATGCTACACTTTTGTTTTCAGATTTGTAGGTTTACAATTTGCTGTTAAAGTATAACCAAAGTAAATTTTTTTATTTTTTTAAGATTTACATAGTGTGGTGAAGTGATAGAACCCTCTTAAGTTTTTTTTTTTTTTTTTTTGTCCTGTCTGTTCCCCCTTGTAGATTCACTCTCTAAATGCCCCAATCACCAGTGCCCCCAGGAATTAAAATGATAAATTGAAATTGATAAAAAGAATAAAGGGGAAATCCTCCATTGGGGAAACTTGTTCCTATGGTAAAGCTATAAGAGGGGATTTCCCTTACATTAGAAAATATCCTTACTTTCCACACACTAGGAAGTGGAGTTATTGATATATGTCTATTCTGTGTCCTTTGGCATTAGCAAGGAAGGCCAACAATATTTTTGCATCTTTCCCATATTACTTCAGAAGACCTGCACACTATGAAGCCTTGAACTGTTATTGTATTGTTGAGATATTTTTAATTATAGACTTGGTGGCACTAGCTTTATTCAATATTTAATACAACCTTATGTTAATGTTTACGGACTCTTAAAGTCTTATCTTAAAGGCTTTGTAAAATATCTTTTTTTTTTTTTTTTTTTTTTTTTTTTTTAATACTACAAAAGTAACATTTTATAAAAAGTAATAGGAACTGGAGCAAAATCTCCCTAATGCAGCACAGATGGAAAAAAATGAGTGGTTCTAACCCTCCCCTACTCTATGCCCTCTATCCAAAGCAAACATTTGGAAAGTAGAGACATGCAAAATCTGGGTGTCTGTATTTTTATATATATATAATCTATATCTTCACTAGCCCCTAACTAAACATGTCAGGTCACCGTAGTGGGTTCACCAAAAAGATAGGCAGCACCTATACCTTTTTTACTGTTCTATCAGCATTTTCACACAACAGCATGTTCCCTTGGCAGAGAGCGCAGGAGAAAAGAGCTCTGAGCACCAACCAGCTTGCATGTATGTGCACAGTTGAGATCAGAAATGAGGTTTGAATCTACATCTTGTGGTGTTGTATTATGTTTCTGATTGGTTGTAAAAAAACAAAAAACAAATTTGTATAAAGCCAAACAATCTTTTGTGGGGATTAATGTAATTTTATCTTTCACTAATGTGAGTTTCATTTTCAACAGGTCTCCGTGGAGCCATGGCATTTGCCCTCTCAATTCGAGACACTGCCACCTATGCACATCAGATGATGTTCTCCACAACTCTTCTAATTGTATTTTTTACTGTGTGGGTAGTAGGTGGGGGAACAACGCCCATGTTATCCTGGCTGAATATCAGGTGAGTAGCATCACAACTTGTGAACTAAATACTAGTCATCCAGGTAGTCATCTGTAGCAAATCCGCTACCAAAGAGCAAGTGAGCATTTTTTTTTTTTTTTTCATTTAAACAGGTTTGTATTTTTCACTTGTAGGCTATCAGATCAAGTAATAAAATAGCTCAATCATCTTCCATACCTCTGTCTTCATTTTCATTTCATTCTTGTACTATGCCAGAGTTGGTGACCATGTGCCATCGATGGAGGATGCAGCCATTAGACGTTGGCAGTATTTCAGGTGATTGGGTACTTCTGTGTCAAATTAACTTACAGCTGCTTTGAGTACTTCTTGGGAATCTCTTTCAGCTGCTTTGTTGATCTATCTACCCTTCTTTTAGGTGTTTGTATGCTTTTCTTTTTTCTGCAACTGTTCAGCTTACTACATTGTAATTTGAAAATTGATTTCTGAAATATAACAAGAAAATACTTTATCATACTGTTGACAGCCATACCGTGCTCCTAATAAATGTTTGCTTTAAAGGACTAGTGAACCTGAAAAAGAAACTGGTTTATATAAACAAGCTTTTAATCTTCAGTATGGCAATTTACAATACGTGGTACATTTTTGGTTGACTCATACATTTGTGAAGATATAACATACCATTGAGGTTCACAAACAAAAGAGTTGAACTTCTGATCCATTGGTTTTATCCTAGCATAGTCTGTGTCAGAGGGAAACTTTTATATTGACACATTATATTGCTTCATCTTAAAGTGGAACTAAACCCATTAATTTAACAGTTTCAAAAAACAATTACATTCCCATCACATTCCAGGGATGTAACTGTCACGTTGCTGGTGCTCTCAAGCAAACTGTCAAACCATCAAATGGCTGTTGTCATAACTGAACACATGTACAGCATCATGACAGTTAAAGATCAAACAGAGGCTAGGATGGCAGCTTCCTTGTCTATAAAAAGGTAGGAGGGTTTAGTTCGTCTTTTAAAAAAGAACAGAAAGAAAAGAATCTGTTCAGATGCAGACATAATCCTTTTAGAAGACATATATAGCACCATTCACTATGGGGATTAAACACCTGGTTCACACTAGCCCCATGGCTGTGAGCTGGTTGTGGGTACAGGAATCGCACCTGATCCCGCACCTGCAACCACTCGCAGCCGCATTGCATTTCTCTTGCTACGTGGGGGGGGGGGGGTTCTGTTCATTTTAAATGGCACCCCACACATCCCATCCTGCAGTGCAATTGGTGTGGAAAACTGCATGGTCAAAAACACGGATGCATTTTGGAAAAGCATGTTTTTTTTTTTGCATGAAACGCAGACACCATTCAAATGATTAGGCTTCCGTGACCGCGCAAAACGCGGGCTGCACTGCCCGCATTGGTGTGAACTGGGCAGGATATTCAACTTTATAACTAGAGTTGGTTAGCCAACAATTTTAATAAGATCTCAGTTGAGCAAATCTAACGTTCTTTTAATATTTTAACTTTCCTTGGTACAACTCCCTTCTTCTTCTTTTTTTTTTTTTTTTTTTTTTTTTTTTTTGAATTAATTTTAGGCTTTGAGCAAGACCAAAATATGTGAAGCATTGTGCCCTCCTCCCTGTGGCATCTCCAACACATAGGGGGACATCGTGGGAAACGTTTATGTAGCATCAGTGGGACTCTGTACCACCTAGATAAAATTTTGCATCCTGTTTCCTAAATGAAGCTCAAAATGGAGGCCCTGTGGGTCATCTGAAGGAACCTATCTTTTTGTGTAGCTGTGAAGGTTCTATTCAAGTCTTGTTCCCATTTGGCGAAAAATGTCACAGAGAAATCATCTGGGGATTGGGAGAGAATGCGGTAGGATTGAGATAATCCATGTTGCATATGGTCTACACACATGGATTCAAACTGTGTAAGCGAGGTAGTGATTGATGTTTCTCCTGCAATTAGGAGAGAAAATGATGCAGCTGCATGGCCTGCCAAAAGGGTAGGGGGGATCTAATCTATTTTGTAATGCTGACAAGAACTGTACATGAGTGTCCGTCCTAAAGTAATGACACCTATAAGCTGTGTGGGAAATACATCCCCTCTTGGAGGCTCGGAAGGAATCTGGGGTGGCCTAGCACAAGAGTCTTTTGCAAAAGCGTGAGTCTCGACAGGATCGGTAACCTGTTTGGAAAAGTTTAAGGGTGGCCTATTTCTAGATGGTGGAGCAATGACTTGTGGATTTTCTTGAAATAGCCACAGGAGGCCCCCAAGGGTTATCTCCAAGAAGGACTGCTCCATCTGAAACTTGGTAATATTTTTAATTACACATTGGTTTAGAAAACGTCTGATGCTGAAGCATTCTGGGGATCTGTCCAAATTGTAAATGTTTGACTGCTGCTCTTGGGTTTGTTGGAGAGAAATCACCCATATTAAAGAGACCAATAGCTTCAGCAAAAGTCTTACTGTAAGATATGTGCATTAAAAGGCTAAGTCCACCTTTTACCAAAAACAAATGCTCAGACTGTATAATGTATTTGCAGGAAAAAGTGCTTTTATTTATTTTAATTTGTTTATTTTTTTTTTTGCAAATCAGTCTGGTCACAGCTGCATTGCTTTTGTAGACTACCACACTCCTGTTCCATTGAGAATTACATGTCTGTCATAGGGGAAGATGGTACTTGTAGTTCATTCCTTCACAGATCTCTTTGAAGGGGAAGGGTGTGAACACTTTCTGGATTGTCAATTGCCTAGCAAGATCAATTGCACATTGCAAGTCAATAGAAAATTGTTTATGTAAAGGAAGACCACATTCCTTTGTGAGGGAGAATGTTAGATGATTCATAGTGTCATTGGGATCTCCAGTAAAATGTCTTGACTTTATCATTAAGAATGTCAGCCAACTTTTTGTTGACCTTATGCCATATTGTTTTTTGTTTAATCTGCATGACTGTTGGGGTACCAGACCACCAGTCTTTAGCCAGTGTTTGCCTTGCTGCTGTGAAAATGAGGATTAGAAGTCTGAACAACTTGATAGGAGATTAAAGAGAACTTTTGTATGGATTCTTGAGGATGCTGCTACAAACAAAGATCTGAGGCACCCTGGAGTAATTTATCCAGTCGACATGGGGTGCCTTGTACCATCAAACAATAGTTTCTAAATGGCCTTGTTGAATGAGTATTTCAGTTACGTGTGTAGTTGTGTCCCATATTTTGGACCATTGGTGCAGTTCAAGAGAGCTGCCTAAATCTTTCTTCCATTATGAAATGTACTGTGAGGTGTGTTCAGAGTCTGCCTTCAAAAGAGAGTCATAAATCGAAGAGATTGTGTCTTTGGTTAAAGGATTGTGGGGACATGGTCAAAATGGGTGAGGATTAGAGGGGAGTCTGTATGTTTTAATATACATTGTACATAGTTTGGGAGTTTTTTCAATTTGGAAAGAGCAAAATATCTCAGATGAGGAGGTATATTGTATGGATTGTAATGAGAAAGAGCTGAGTGTTCCTTGCACAGTGGTTTAGTCATACAATCTGAAAAGGTATGTTTTGGTCTTCCACAGGAATCTGAGCGGTTTTACATATCCCAGGAGAAAAAAAAAGTTATTAATTATGGTTTCAAGAGGTGTGTGGGAAGAGGGCAATTTGCTTGAATATTTAAGTAATCCCAGGTTTTGCATTTATTGAACATTTCAGGCACCATGCCTGGTTGGGCACTGAAGTGAAAGTTTCTGTGTAGAGCCTAACAATTATCAGAGACTTCAAAACATATGGAAAGGAGCATTAGTTGTGTAACATGTAGTCATTGAAACAGTCAATATTTAGTACTAATGACATACTAGCAGTATACAGAAAGCGGATGACCCTTGTGAATGTTCCCAATTCAAGGGTGGGTGGTTGGTTGCAGGGAAGAAATAAAGGGATTTGTGGGGGGATAGGGAAAAGTGGATGGTGTTTTTAGGAGTCTGTGATGCTGTGCAGTTGCAACATGTAGGAGGAGAGAAAAAGGAAAGCAATGAAAAATAGGGGGGGGGGGGGGGAGCATTGGCAAGGTTGAATACCAGGATTTTGGAGAGTGTTTATGGGCCAGGTCAGTTAAGTATTTGCACAAATCTGGGGGGGTCCATAGGACCGTATTGTGGGGAGGTAGTGTAAAAAAAATAAACAGTTGTACCTGTCACCAGAGGTCCGGTGTTGGGACCTCCCGAGCTGCGAATAAGTGAGAAAAATCACAGCACTCCATACCAGTTAAGAAGTCCCTTGCAGTAGTAGTGAGACTGCCAGCAGACCGAGCCTGAAACTTTCTATCAGGGAGAAATGTTGGGTGAGTCAATATAGGGGTCAGTGTAGAGAGATATCTGCTACTGTCCACTACAGCAAAATATCTCGCTAGCTCCCACAATGTGGCTCCTATGAGCAGGTGTTTCTGTAGAGAGAGGGTAGTAAGCTGACCTGATCATGGAAGTCCCGTCAAGGGAACTAAAGAATTGTCCTGTTCAAGTGAGATCCATAGTTTTAAATGCCCCATGTTTGTGCCAATTATTAATTCTAGTAATATGAGAGGCTGTATATTTTGCATCAGGATCTGGTAAACCCATCCCTCCCCTATCTTTCGATAGTAACCTATGTTTTATTAGTGACAAAACAACGCGTAGCAAAAGCTTGGAAACAGCTATTTGCTTATTTTGCGGACATTCCTCGACCCGTCGCCACCAGTTTCATTGATGAGAAACTTACCAATGTTCTTCTAGACACACATAAGAAATTCTGTACATACAATATACTCGTCCTTTGATGTGCATAGCAAGTTACTCACATCTGTAGACTCCGGAGTCTCAAGGCTGCCCCCCCAAAACGCAAACACACAAACCTCTTACTCTTTTTCTACCCTCTTCTGAGAACTTCTCATACCTCCCTATTGCAGAGGTTCTTTTTTTCTCTTTATCTTCATCTTGAAGCGGCCTCAGTTTTTTGCTTGGATTTAGCAGCATATACTAGTTAGTTTTGTTAGCGGTCTGAACCCTTGCAAGATAACTACAGACCACTATTCATCTTCTTTGCTCATCATCAGCTTATCATACAGAACATCTACAGATTCTTGCCATGGTCAAACATAGACTCATGCCATTGACAACTACAATTCTGAAAACAGTAGTACATTGCTTATATCCACGTTACTTCATGTTACTATTTGTTCTTTGAAATACTTCAGTAAAATGTATTGAAAGTGAAGTTGTGTCATATTAACCTTAAGAACACTGGCTGAACTGAATGTAAGATATGAAAGGGTATGTGGATAAGGGAGCATT